GCTGCTCCGGGCCTGGCCGCTCCTAGCCTGGCAGCCGCTGCTCCGGGCCTGGCCGCACCAGACCTGGCTGCTCTGGGCCCGGCTGCCTCGAGCCCGGCCGTTCCGAGTCTGGCCGCTCCCAGCCTGGATGCTCCGGGCTTGGCTACTGCTCTTCTGGGCCTGGCTGCTCCCAACCCGGCTGCTCTGGGCCCGGCTTTTCCGGGCCCGTCCACTCCAGGTCTGGGTGTTCCTGGACTGGCCACCCTGGGCTTGGCTGCCTCCGCCTCAGGCCTGGCTGCCACTGCCCCAGGTCTGGCTGCTCCAGTGCTGGCTGTTGTTGCTCTGGTTCTGGCTGCTGCTGCTCTGGGGCCTGGCCGTTGCTGCTCCGGGCCTGGTTGCCACTGCTTTGTGCCTGGGCACTCTAGGCCTGGCCGCCTCTGTTCCAACATTCTGCCCTTTTTTTTTTTTTTTTTTTTTTTAAACGCATTTATGTTGCAATGTTGGCTGGTGAGTTGAGTTCTGACTTAGTCTTTGATTTTTCAAGATCTTCTTTGTATTCTTTCTTAAGTAATTTTACTATCTTTTGCTCTCACTTGATTTCTTCACATTGAGAACTTCTTCGGTTTCTTCCTCCTGTCCTGGGAGCTCAGCAGGTTGGCCTGTGGCACCCCTTTGTTCTCCACGGGCTCCCGCACTGCTCCAGCCTGTTGCCGGGTTCGGCGCCGCCCAGGAAGCAGCCCCCAGCCTTGGCTCCATTGCCCGCCCTCAGAGGTCGATGGCTCAGGGGCACCACCCCCCTGGGGGCCCCGTTGCCCGGCTCCCTGCCGGCGCCCGGCTGGCTGGTGTCCAGCAGGGGCTCCTGCTCCCTGTCACATTCCTCCAGTCTGGAGCTTTTTTTTTTCTCCTTCCCGCTAGGGAAGTCCAGGATCAGAGTCAACAGACTGTCCTCTGCGCGCAGTGCGCGTGACTCTGGAGGCTCCGCTTTTCGCCACTCCTCTGGGATTCCGCCTCACAGCCCCGTCTCCCCCTGCCCAAGCCTGGGTCCCCAGGGTCTGGTTCAGGACTGGGGTTCAGAGCAGTCCGGACTGAGGCTCAGCGCCGCCGGAGGCTTTGTTTCTTCCCGCTAGGGTAATCCAGCATCAGAGTCAACATTCAGTCCTCTGAATGTGCGCGAGACTCCAGGGGCCCTGCTTTTCGCTGCTCGCTTGGGATTCCGCCTCACAGCCCTGTCTCCCCCGCCGGAGCCTGGGTCCCCAGGGTCTGTCTCATACCTGGGGCTCAGCGCTGCCGGTTCGGGAGGTTTAGCCCAGGCTGGGGGTTTTATTTCCTTCCTGTTAGGGAACGCCAGGCAGCACCCAGCCCTCTCCTCTCCGGCTGCGACCATATACATTACTGATGAGACTTAAGAAATTTCCCGTGTAGGAAAAAATGATCTCCTTTATTATGTAATTTGGAGATAACTCGGTGAAAGCATTAAGATGATTATGTGTCTTCAGGGAGTGGCTTCAGCCTAACCCTAAGGAATGTTCTGGTAATAAGGTGGGTTGTCTATGCTTATGTCAGGTTGATGACCCTCTTAACATGAAGGGAAATATACAATAAAAGGGAGATGAAGAAAAGACTGTCCAGGCAAGACTGACTGGTGTAATCCGGGTGTTGGCGAGTGCAGTGTGTAATGGAGGGTGCAAGGCTTTCCCGGAAAAGGAGGCCCCAGCGGAGGCCTGTCCCTCCAGGTCGCTCCCAGCCCCTTTAGCTGTGACCGCGTTTCAGACACAACAAGGCAACCTGTCCAGGTCCCAGATGTTCTTCATAAGATGATTTTCCAGACAGACGTTGACACATTGGGACCCGGGATGTTGACACTCTTGTATGAATGAAACCACTAAAGTTAATTTAGAGTCCACCAAAGTTTTACCCACACTCCCTCAGATTCCCTGTATAAATATAAAGTGACCGACGTGTTGTGTTATTAAACGTGCTCTGACGATATGCAACAGGATCTCCCTTTCTCAGGGAGTCTGGGTAAGACTGTTCTGAGAATGTATGAATCATGTTTACTGGCGTCATAGTTACCCAACATGGAGAATTTCTCTGTGTGGGGTCCCTCACAAAAGTAAGTGTGTCATCAGACGATCCAGCCATGTCCAGTGCTTAGGGTAACCCCAGACACGTGGGATTACAAAGCTCTGCTCATTCTATTGATAAGATTAGCAGGAGGAGAAGTAAATGTAAATTTTAACTATGGGATTTGCAGATGTCAATTATATTTCTTTTTTAAAAAAATATATTTTATTGATATTTCACGGAGAGGAAGGGAGACGGATAGAGAGCTAGAAACATCGATGTGAGAGAAACATCGACCAGCTGCCTCCTGCACACCCTCTACTGGGGTTGTGCCCTTGACCGGAATTGAACCTGGGACCCTTGAGTCTGCAGGCCCACGCTCTATCCACTGAGCCAAACCGGTTTTGGCGAGGTCAATTATATTTCTAAGGAATATGACTACATATTGAGCTCTGTATATTTTCCATTATTAACAATGTAGGGAGTCTATTTGGTGCTGGTCTCTCGGTTAAGAGAGGAATGAGCCACCTATTAAAGTAGCAGAGGCCTCAGGATGTGCATGCTTAGTGATAGAAAGACAGTATCTTGGCCGCCACGTCAATAAAAGGACGTCCGCATCACGTATCCTGAGGGAAATGTCTGTCTGCACATGGTGCTGCCGTAAACCGCACAGAGTTGCATTCAGCTCGTGGTGGTCGACCTGCGCTTCTCTGCTTGTTCTCGAAGTGCATGATGGTCTTTCAGGGTGCCGCTGAGTCCTGGGAGGTATTTTGCACTTACAGAGTCTCCCAATGAGGAGAAGATGCTAGTTTATCTCAGTGGAGAATTACTGTGACCCGGGCTAACTTCGATAAAAAGGAGCATGCCATTCGTACCCCATTAGATCGACTCATTTTCACACAGAAAATACTCTGAAGTGAATTTTTTTTTAGATGCACTTCACCTATCTGAGCCTTCAACGTTACATCTATAACTCAATGTTCCTTTTTAAAAAATATATATATATTTTATTGATTTTTTTACAGAGAGGAAGAGAGAGGGATAGAGAGTAAGAAACATCAATGAGAGAAAATCATCAATCAGCTGCCTCTTGCACCCCCCCCCCCACTGGGGATGCGCCCACAACCAAGGTTCATGCCCTTGACGGGAATCAAACCCGGGACCTTTCAGTCCGCAGGCCGACGCTCTATCCACTGAGCCAAACCAGTGCGGCATAAAAAGTCCTGATTTTTGGAAAGAATCTTTAGACACGGGACAAATTGTTAAAAAGATTTTTGGATGCGGGACCAATTGTTAAAAATCCTGCCAAAAGCGGGACGTCTAGTCACCTTACTTTAGGGCCACCGAAGGGGGAGAGGTGGTACCAGCAGCCAAACAGCTTGGTGGCAGGAGCCAAGGAGGAGAAGGACAGGCTGGATTTCTGAAGCCGCCTCAGTGGAGGGAGAAAGAGGAGATCCGAGTTGGCAGGGTTTCTGGGGAGATGAAGCCTGGGCCACGGATAAAGGAGTGCTATGCCCTCCCTTGCTCGGTGCTCTCTCACTCACCCAGCCCAGGCGGAGGGCACGCTGCAGAGGGCCCTCCCTTGCCTGAATGCGGACGTGCACAGTCACTGGCCATGACTAGTAGCCGTCACCAGGGCCACAGCCCACGGACCCTGCAGCACTTCTCCGTGGCTGGACCTGCATGTCTAACTCAGACGGTAAACAACGGGGCTCTGGAGTGTAGCTTCCGGTGCCTGACATGTGACCTAGCCAGGGTGGACACGTGGCCAGCATAATTCACTGGTTGTGCATTAAGTTCAATGTAAACCCTGCAGGCAGCAGCCTATGATCGGGTGGGGATCCTGTGGTGAACAAGACAGACAAGTTCTGCCCTCTCGGGCATACAAACAAAACAAAACAAAACAAAACAAAACGCAGGGACTCGGGTAGATGAGATCCCGTCCAACGGGGCCAGGAGGGTGGGAAAGCTTCCATGGGGGAAAGATGGCCAGTGAGGCCCAGGATCCTGGGCCAAGGTGAGCTTAAGGGGCGGTCAGACAGGGAAGGTAGGGGGCAGACACAGAGAGCCTTGCAGGACAATGTCAAAAGGCTTTTGTCATACTCCGTAGGAAATAAAGCAGAATGATCTATGTTGTTCAACGGTCACCTCAGCCGCTGTTTTAGGGGTACAAATGGCCAGCCTGAAGTCAGATGACCACAAATTCAATGTGGGAGCATTCCCAAAGTTCTGAGCTTTCTTTTCTTTTTAAAAATATATTTTATTTTTTTTTTAGAGAGGGAAAGGGAGAGGGATAGAGAGAGTTAGAAATATCCTTCAGCTGCCTCCTGCACACCTCCCACTGGGGATCTGCCTGCAACCAAGGAACATGCCCTTGATGGGTGGGAATCGAACCTGGGACCCTTCAGTCTGCAGGCCGGCGCTCTATCCACTGAGCCAAAGCGGTCCAAGGCAAGCTCTGAGCTTTCTCACCTCGCTACCCTAATAGTCAAACTGGTCAAAATCAAGCTCCGTAGCATCGCCGGTGGGAGCCGAACGTGGAGGTCCTGCCTTGGCTTCCAAGCCCGCCTCCCCCTCGCTGGTTGCGGTTCGTTGCTGTGCGGGGTCGGCTGGGAAATGGGGCCGATGCACATCCCGACGGCACCGGGCAGCGGCGGGGATGGACGCCACCGCGGGTGAGGCCGGGCGCGGGGCCGCTCCGACGGCGAGCATCGCCGGCGCCGGCGCTGACACCTGTCGGCGGCGCCAGGAGGCTGAGCCCGAGCAGAGGCGGGTGGCCCCGCAAAGGCCATCCCGGGGGCAGGACCCCTCCTCCTCTAACTTGTCTGGAGGCGGAACGCGGGGCGGGGGCTGCCCGGGGAGAGAGGCACCCGGCCCAGCGCGGCCTCAAAGCGGTCATTGTCGCCGGGCGCCCCTCCCCCGCCCGGGGCGCGTCCCCATGGCAACGCGGGGCTTCGCGCTCCCGCCTCCCGGGCCGCAGACAGGAAGCCGTCCGCGCCGGGGGCTTCTGGGAAACGGCTGGGATCGGCGTCTCTGCGTCGGCCGCGGACAGCGGAGCTGCTGCGCTTCCCGAGCCCGAGGTTTGCGCCGGGAGTGCGGGAGGGCCTGCGGGGAGCCGGGCGCGGGGCCGCGGGGTGCGGCAGGAGCCGGCGACGAACCGCGGCGGGACCTTCCTCGGGTCCCGGGAGGCGCAGGCCGCCGTCTCCGCGCCCCGCAGCTGCGGCATAGGGGGTGGCCCGAAGGCCAGGAGGGGCTCTGCGCCCTCCGCTGGTCCTCCTGCCCCGCGTCCTCCGCGACCCCGGCCTTTCCCCTCCCCCACCAGCCGGTTTTGTTCTATTTCGAGGCCCAGCGTCTCGCGGGGAGTTCTGGGACTGGGCTCGGGCGGGGGCGGGGAAGGGCAGGCCTTGCGCGAGTGCTGCCGGGACTTGTAGTTCCGCCGGCTGCGGGCGGAAGTGCGTTGGCTGGGCTGTGGACGCGCCTGGGTGGCCTTGGGGCGTGTGAAATCCGCAGCCGCCGGTGCGGAGGGGCCGGCGGAGGGCGGGGTGGGGCCGGGCTCCCGGCGGCACTGTGCGGGCGTCAGGTAGGGCGATCATCGTCCCCCCAGCCCCCCACATACTCCCCGGGCCGCGGGCTGCCCTCCCCGCACCTCCTGTGAGAAGACTGGATGCTGCCACTTCTGATTTGGCAGGAGTGGGAAGGGACGAGGTGCTGGCTATAAACCCTATTGGTAGGACCGCCCCACTCCGGAGGAGTGAGTTAAACTTGCGTAAGATACGGATCTGATAAGGGCTTTTTCCTGATCCTGGTCTTCGTCTTGATGGGGTTGCAGTAAGTTTTCTAAAGGACCGGTTTTCTCATCCCGGGTCCCGAGTGGATGCGTGGAGGATCTGCACTGCACCCCCGTTTCTAATACGTGTGAGAGAACCAGGGGCAGGGCCGTGACGGTGCAGATACCTAGATACTGGGGAAATGGCCAGAAATAGCACCCACTTTCTCTGTAATCGAAGCTGGGAAAGCAGTCACCTAGTGTGAGGACCAGGTCCTGGGCGCCTGCCAGGGCTTGGGGAGGGGGGGGGGGGGCCTTTCATGGAATCTGTGATGAACGCCTGTCATAAGTTAAAATAGTCACAGTGTGGTGAGCGACTGCATAATATTTTCAACATAAAGCACTGGAGGCTAATTTTTTTTTTCAATATATCGTTGAGCAAGTGAACAATTCTTTTAAAAATATATATATTTGAGTGCTTTTTTGTTTGTTTTTTGTTGTTTTTTTTTTTACAGAGAGGTAGGTAGAGGGATAGAAAGCTAGAAACATAGATGAGAGAGAAACATCCATCAGCTGCCTCTTGCACACCCCCCACTGGGGATGTGCCCACAACCAAGGTACATGCCCTTGACCAGAATCGAACCTGGGACCTTTCAGTATGCAGGCCTACGCTCTATCTACTGAGCCAAACCGGCCAGAGCATCACAAAGTATTCTTTTGAGTCTTTTCAACCATGTGAAAACTGCCCTGGTAGGCTTGCTCAGTGGTTGGAGCATTGGCCTGCAAACTCAAAGGTTGAGGGTTTGACCCTTTTGGGGCACGTGCAGAATCGATGTGTCTCTCTTAGGTCAATGTCAGTGTTTCTCTTTCTCTCTCTTCCCTTCCTCCTGCTTTTTCACTCTCTCTAGAAATCAATGGAAGAAATATCCTCAGGTGAGGATTTAAAAAAAAATAATTGAAAGCTATTTCTTAATACAAGTGTACAAAAAATGGGCAGCAGGCCAGCTTTGACTCTCAGCTGTAGTTTGCCAACTTCTGGTATAGTTTATTGATGGGAATTTTCAATTGAGTAAAAAGAAATATTTTTACTTCCTTTATCCACATGTATCCAAATTCTTAGATATCAGGTGACTTACGTTTTTAATTCTTTGTGTCTTAGGATTGCCTGTGAAGAACACGAGGTATTTCTCTGAGGCCCGTGCTCTGCCCGTCTTGATAGTCTTTGCTTGGAGTCTTAAAATCAGGATGTCTGCACCGTCAGTGGAAGAAGATTCGATACTCATCATCCCAACTGCAGATGAGGAGGAAAAAATTCTGAGAGTGAAGTTGGAGGAGGATCCCGATGGTGAAGAGGGATCAAGCATCCCCTGGAACCATCTCCCGGACCCAGAGGTGTTCCGGCAGCGGTTCCGGAAGTTTGGGTACCAGGATTCACCGGGGCCGCGGGAAGCTGTGAGCCGGCTTCGAGAACTCTGCCGTCTGTGGCTCAGGCCCGAGTCACACACGAAAGAACAGATCCTGGAGCTGGTCGTGCTGGAGCAGTTCGTTGCCATCCTACCCAAGGAGCTGCAGACGTGGGTCCGAGAGCATCACCCAGAGAACGGAGAGGAGGCCGTGACGGTGCTGGAGGATTTAGAGAGTGAGCTGGATGATCCCGGGCAGCCGGTGAGCCTGCTTGTGCCGCTTTCCTGGGCCAGAAGCACTGGCCCCCCGGCAGGCACACTGCTGAGCTACCTCCACTCCACTGCGCACATGTGCTGTCCGGGGTGTCTCATGTCCCGGTAGTTCTGATTCTCGTTAAATTCCCTGTCAACTGAACCACATTTCATTCGCAGGTTTCTCTCCGCCGGCGGAAACGGGAGGTGCTGGTAGAGGAGATTGTATCTCAAGAAGAAGCTCAGGGATTACCAAGTTCTGAGCTTGATGCTGTGGAAAACCAGCTCAAGTGGGCATCCTGGGAACTCCACTCCCTAAGACACTGTGGTGAGGACCAGGCTTCCCCGTGGGGGAGGGGAGACAGCGAGGTCTAATGTCTAGAGCCCGTTGCGTATTGTGTGTGTGTGTGTTAGACTGGACACACTTTAGGAGCTTGGTTCTTTTTAAAAAAAATATATTTTATTGATTTTTTTAGAGAGAGGAAGGGAGAGAGATAGAGAGCTAGAAACATCGACCAGCTGCCTCTTGCACACCCCCTACTGGGGATGTGCCCCCAACCAAGGTACATGCCCTTGTCCAGAATCTAACCTGGGACCTTTCAGTCCTCAGGCTGACGCTCTACCACTGAGCCAAACCGGTTTCGGCCAGGTGCTTGATTCTTTTCTCATCACAGTGAGTTTGCTGACCTCAGGGCTTTTGTTCCTAGACTGCCATCAGCCTTTTCTTCTCTTTCCCTGCCTCCTGATGACCTGCCCATTTCAGGCTGGCCGGCGTCTGCCTCACTGTGAGCCAGCGCCTACCTCTAGACCAGGTCCCTGTGCATTTTGCACGCAGTGGTGCATATTGGTCATCTGTCCCCTGTCCTTTCAGTCTCCTGCCTCATCTCACTGGTATAGTAAACTTACCTGAGGCCTCTTCATGTCTGCTTATTTGTTGTTTATTCCTGGAGTCTTTCTAAATTTTCACCTATTTTTTTCTTCAACATCCTATCCAGAGTCATTTTTTTCCAAGGTTCTTTGGTAAAATGATATTTATATAAAGCTCTTCACCTTTTGTAAGTATTCATTTAAAAACGGGTTTTCTAGCTATAAAAAGCTTTTTTTTTAATTTATTGATTTCAGAGAGGAAGGGGTAGAAAAAGATTGAAACATCAATGATGAAAGAGAATCATTGATCGGTTGCCTCCTACATGCCCCCAACTGGGGATGGAGCCCGAAACTGGGACATGTGCCCTAGACCGGAATTGAACCTGGGACCCTTCAGTCCACAGGCCGACACTCTATCTGCTAAGCCAAACTGGCTAGGGCTATAATAAGCTTTTAAATACAGAAAAATTAGATTAGTCCTTCCCAATATTTTTAACAATTAACGCCACATCCTTATTTGTATACTTTTGATACAACCCAGTTTATCCCTAAAATTACCGGGCATATTTTTCTGATTCAGTGTAAATGAATCAGGACTTGGGGAGTGGGGCTGAAGTATGCTGGGAATCTGGACCTTGTTCTGTGCAATACAGTTTGCAAAGCATTCTCATTGGTTTGGAGGTGGCATTTTCTTGGGTAGAAAACTTCTCCCCTGCCAAAACCATTTGGCTCAGTGGATAGAGCATCAGCCTGCGGACTGAAAGGTCCCAGGTTCAATTCTGGTCAAGGGCATGTACCTTGGTTGCGGGCACATCCCCAGTAGGGGGTGTTCAGGAGACAGCTGATTGGTGTTTCTCTCTAATCAATGTTTAACTCTATCTCCCTTTCTGTGGAAAATCAATAAAAATATATTAAAAAAAGAAAACTTCTCCCCTGCCTGAGTTTCAGAATACTTTTCACCTCTTTAATTCCTCATTTCAGCAATCCAGTCTCTACCACACTTGAGAACTTTCTTCTTACTGTGCCCTTTGTCTCCACTTAATCCATACACTCCCCTGTTCTCCAAGAGTCCAGGCCTAACAGGTCCTCGCTACCCTCTCAGTCTCTCCTGGTCAGCCTTTCCTCCTGCCTTTATCCCTTCCTTCACCATTTATTACAGACCTGCTCACTGCCACCTTTCTGAGTGCTACTGCTCACCCTGTGGTAATGGTCTTGACTTTTCAAGGTTTAGGAAAGTCTTTTTTTTTTTTACTTATAAATTTTATATATTTTTATTTAAAAAATTTTTTTTTATTGATTTCAGAGAAGAAGGGAGAGGGAGAGAGAGAGAGACAGAAACATCCATGATGAAAGAGAATCATGGATTGGCTGCCTCCTGCACACCCTACACTGGGGATCATGCATGTGCCCTTGACTGGAATCGAACCTGGGACCCTTTGGTCTACAGGCTGACACTCTATCTGCTGAGCCACACTGGCCAGGGCAATTTTATATATTTTTAAATAATTAAAAACATTTGTTTATTGGTGTGTGTGTGTGTGTGTGTGTGTGTGTGTGTGTGTATCAGGAAAGTTTTAAATGGAACTTGCTCATATAACTGCCTACAGATGTGATGGTACCCCACTCTGATAATTCACTAGACACATATATCTGAGGCTAAGAAATAAGAGTTCATCTGGATCATGAGAAACACCCAATATGGCGGTGTTCTCCACAGGAAAATGTGCATTTGTGAGGGCGTAGTGTGTTTGTATGTGTCAACCTGAACTATCAGGATGCTCCCAGCTCACCTTCAACCCTGTCAGGACTCCTGGGTCCTAATCTTGCCTGTGACTGGTCCTGTCTTCTCATTTCTAACTGATTGCTTCTTTTTTATGTCATTGTAGTTTGATGTAATATCTTCCTTTTCAAAGCAAAAGGATATTATTATGCTTTTCTAATGACCAACCTTATTTTATGTTCTTACAAAGTTCCATCTAGACCTAATTGTCATTTCTCCTGAATGTCTTAAAATCTATAATCTTTCTGTTCTTTTTCCCCTCATCACCATTTATAACCCACTAGCCTGTTACTTCTCCTGTTCAGATTTAACTGTTTAATCCCTCATTGAATTATTTACCTCATTAGCCTCATAACCAGCCATTTCATATTTTTCTCTTTTGAGAGTGGCAACCTGAGCATCGGTTTGCACAATACAGTTTATAGATGAATGCAAGCTATTTGTTTACTTGTTCTTCAAGTTTCTTTCTCCCAGAACAGGAAATGAGCGATACTTAACATTTTCTGTTTATTTCAGATGATGATGCTAGGACTGAAAATGGAGCGTTGGCTCCAAAGCAGGAGATTCCTTCAGCAGTGGAATCTCAGGAAGTTCCTGGCACTCTCGGTGTGGGGGTGCCTCAGATTTTTAAATACGGAGAAGCCTGCTTCCCTAAGGGCAGGTTTGAAAGAAAGAGAAATCCTTCGAGAAAGAAACAACATATATGCGATGAATGTGGAAAACACTTCAGTCAGGGTTCAGCTCTGATTCTGCATCAAAGAATCCACAGTGGAGAGAAACCCTACGGATGTGTTGAATGTGGGAAGGCGTTCAGCCGAAGTTCCATCCTTGTACAACACCAGCGAGTGCACACTGGGGAAAAACCGTACAAATGTCTCGAATGCGGGAAAGCCTTTAGCCAGAATTCTGGGCTTATTAATCATCAGAGAATCCACACTGGGGAGAAACCTTACGAATGTGTGCAGTGTGGGAAATCCTATAGTCAAAGCTCAAACCTTTTCAGGCATCAGCGAAGACACAATGCAGAAAAACTGCTGAATGTTGTGAAAGTTTAAGAAATTAGAAGGAAAAGTCAGCACTCAGGTCTATTTCTTCAGAAATGAAGACAAAATTAAAAACATGGAATGATACATAATGATACAGTTTGGTCTCCCTATAAGAATGTTAGAAAATCCACTGGGAAAACGTAGAACATTGTCACTCAACATTATTTTGTTTGCAAAGAAATGGTGTCATTCCTGCCTAGAAATTTTGAACGTAATTCACATATGAATGTCTAAATTTTTCATGTAATGTTTATATTCTTACTATTTTTTCCAAATAATGATCTGTTCTTTGTCTCTAACAGTTTTTCTTTGTAGACAGACACATTAGTTTGTGTTGATTATTGAATCATTCTTTGCAAGGATACACTCCTTTCCTATCTACGTTAAAAGGCAACATAAGGATTATGAAGTCTGAAAACCAAAACCATCTTCTCAGAATTTACTTTTTTGGTTTTTTTTTTTACCCAATTTGGATATGCATTTCAGAAAATAGAAGATAAAAAATGAATAAAAGCTTCAAAGTAAAATTAGAAGTGATGGTGATAAAACATCAAAAAGTGAATGGGACACCTAGGTTGGGAAAGATATAAAAATATTTTGATCCAAGGATTGAAGTGTATCAAGAATTTATCTAGATGTAATCATTTGCCTGTAGGGAAATAAAAATGCATCCTTTCTGTAATTTGGAGGCATCCCACTAATGAAAATAATGTTCTATGTATCATTAGAAAGTGGACAGTCTAAACATTAATCATAAACTACAAACGTAGAGAAGACGCTAGAGAATTTGCAGTGAATGATAGTTGAGGGGCAAATATGAAGGTAATAGTCCATTCTGGCTTTTAGAAAACAAGATTTGAAGATCTAATTATTATTTTACCTTGGTTTTTGTTAAGGATAGAAAAAAAATTGCTGACCAGGTGGGTAACAAGTATCAGGTTTGTTATTTTATTTTATTTTTTGGTAAAAAAAAGGGTTGGAAACCAGGCTAACAAAGCAGCCACACATACATTCATTCAACATTTTCTACCGACAAGGCACTGTGCTAGGTACTGTAACGCTACCGTGTGTAGGTAGGTCATTCTTCCACTGTATATTATTGGGGGACTACAAAGCAGTTTCTTGTGAGTTAGCCTCTGGCCCCCTTCTGAGCAGTCCTGGGGGAGCCATGGTTCTCTTACCAGGGTATTGTATGTGGGGGAAAGGAAGACAGCTCAGATTGTTAACCGTCTCGCCAGCATTCCTCAGAGGTGAGTCTAAAATTCTATCACAGTTTGGAGATTTCATAAAACTAATCAATCTCTATTAGCATTGAGGTTGTACTTACATGTTAAGTTGAATGAATTGTTCTATTTAAAAAAATAAACGACTAGGTTATTAACTAGTTTATTAACAGAATTGATGGAACTATTTTTAAAAAATTTTAAGTCTTAACACATTTTTTTAAAAATGTATGAAAGTAATACATTGTAGTCGTAGGATTATATACTCTTTGGCTGAGAATCCCAAGTACTGTGGTTCTACTGGTGAGTGGAAAACTCTGGAAGTTAAAATATAGAATTATTTGAAAAGGCTCTTTTCTAGTGGGCATCATTGTGTGGAAAATGACCCATTTGAATAACTATTTCATAGTTCCAGAGATTTTGGTTACAACTGGTGCTTGGGTCAAATTTAAAAAGTGGAAGATGAAATTTGCATGAGCCTATTAAAAAGCATCGTAATAAATGCAAGGCCAGCTGGTGAAGAAGCAACACAGAATGGGGCTTGTTATGGGTTTTCTGATAATTATCAGAAATGTGCTTTATAGATTAAGGTTCATTGAACTATAAGTGTGTAGTGATGATATGATGTATTTTAAGTTATACAAGAAAATATAGGGACTTTGGGCCTTTTCTTTCTGTGGCTGAGAGGAAACATGTCAACGTCCAATGAAGGTATAGACTCCTCTGCTCTAAGATGAAATGGTCTTGAGTTGATTGATTGATTGATTGATTGATTTATAACTAATTTCTTCCCAAGTAGGCTTTTAGGCGGCAGATTTGGAATTCTGCTAGGATGACAGGATTCTTTATGTCAGAGTAGTTAAGAAGGAGCCAAGCTCTCAGTGGCTGAAATTTCATACTTTTTTAGATTTTATCTCTTTTCTGTATACCAAGAAGCTTCAGAGTGGTAGATTTGTCTTAAAGGCCAAAGATGTTAGGTTTAATGTGACGGCTTAGACAGCGTAGTGTTAGAGTTGGCAAATAAGGGTGGGTCTTGCCAGCTCATAGCTATGGGTTGTTTAGAAGAGATTCCGAGGCTATGGCAAGGCTCTGTGGGGAAAATGGCTGGATCCAAAAAGACTGGGTGATGGTCCCCAGGAAAAGGAAGTGGTTGGTGTACTTGTGTTTCTGATTAGGTTACATCCCCAATAGAAATGATTTAAAATAACTATTCAGTGATTTATGATTTCATCTATACCCACACAGATAACCGTAGCAATTCTGAAGACTGCGCAGCCTCTGATGAAATGGTGATCTGGCAGTTGTCAAGCACTGGGAACTTTTGGTTAGCAAACAAGCAGTCACTGTTTTTAAAAATATATATATTTTATTGATTTTTTTTTTTACAGAGAGGAAGGGAGAGAAGAGAAACATCGATCAGCTGCCTCCTGCACACCTCCCACTGGGGATGTGCCTGCAACCAAGGTAATGCCCTTGACCAAAATTGAATCTGGGACCTTTGAGTCTGTAGGCCGACCAACACTATCCACTGAGCCAAACCAGTTAGGGCAAGCAGTCACTATTAATGGCATGCAGACTGCTGATACCTACCCAGCAGCCACTGAGCATTTGCTCATTACTGGTAAATTCTGGGTTTCTGAGGTTAAGCTCCCTACATTCACACCAGTTGGCACTTTACCATTTAGCAGTATGTCTACCGTGTTAATGTAGGTTGAAGGGAGGATTATATGTATTGAAACAATCTGCATGCCCAGGCATCAGATTAGACACTATCCCTGTCGCACTTAGATTTGTAGACTTAAAAGCAGGATTCAGAGATTGTGTGACTTGCCTGTGGCCAAGTAGAGCTAACACAAATCTATTGTAGTTCTGTGAACTCCACAGACATAAATTTTTTCACAGTGCCATGAGCAGTGGCTGTTAAACCTTGATTTTAGATTTTATCTTTTATGGTTCAGAGGTTTTTTATCTTTTATAGTTAACAAATATGAAAAATATTAAATTCTCTCATTAAAAGTTTTTATAGTACAGAATATAAAGTGGAAAAGGACATGCTTTCTTATAGTCTTACTCGGTCTGTTACTCTTCCAGACTTAGGCATATACAAGTTTAAGCAAAAATGTGTTAATAGTCGACACTTGTGGTTCCTATAAAGGCACTGTTTTGAAGTGCTTTACCGTGGATTAACTCTTAATCCTCACAGCAACCATCTGAGGTAGGTACACATCCCCATTCTACATGTACTGCTCTGACGTTTGTCTCCCCTCCCCAATTTGATATAGACATTGTTTTTCATGGCTACAAATACTGTTGCATTGCATGAATATACTGTTATTTATTTAACCAACCCCTGGATAGTTTTTGTTCTTTTTTTAAATTATTATAGAAAAGGTATGGTTAAAGATACTTGTACATATATTTTGCTGCTTGTGTGGGTATTTCTGTAGGATAAATACATGTGGGGTTTTTTGGTCAGAGAATGTGCACATTCAGCATTTTAAGAGATGCCACCTAAAAGATTACAAATTTCTAACTCCCTCAATAGTAAGAGTGCCTATGGGCTTGCCTACACTCGCACCAATCTGATAGACAAAATTTATTTCCTTCCTTTGATAGTTAATGAAGAACATTTCTTATGTTTATTGGCCATTTGCATTTCCTGTTATGAATTGTGTTTGCCCATTTTTCTTTTTTTTAAATTATGAAAGTATAAATGACTACTAGCTCAATGTGTAAAGCATAAATGATACAGGTATAAGAACAAAGAGCCTTTTCTCCAGCACCTCAATCACATTCCACTTCCCAGAGTTTAGTATATATCTGTCTAGTCCCCTTTCCATTCATCTCCATTTGAATGTACATAAGCATATAAAGCTATTTTTACATAAACAGGATCATATATGTACTGTTATACAGCTTGCCTTTTTTTTTGGTCTAAAAAACCTATTCCTGAGGTCTTTAAATTTCTTTAATGATTGACTAGGATTCAATATTCTGAAAATACCAAGGTTGAAGGTATTTTTTCCTCCTGCTGTTACATTGCCAAAGTAAAACTTTTCTCATATGTCTTTGTGCATGTGTGTGAATATTCCTTTAGGATGGAGCTGTGTACGGTGGGGTATTACATCCGCAGGTGTGCTCCCTGATAGCTCACCTTAGCCTTCCTGAAGGCCTTCCTGACTTTATATTTTACCACCTGTAGGGAAAGTGTTCATTTTTACATAGGCCTTACCTACCCTTGGTACTTTTATCTGATGAGAAAAAAAAAAAAAAAATCCTAATTACATTTCCCTGATGAATGGTAAGGTCATGTTTAGTGGCCATTTATAGTTTCACCGTGGATTATTTGTTCACATCCTCTATATCAGCTTTCCAGTTGGGCTACATGTGGATGTTTGTCGTTTCTGTTTGTACAGCATCTCTTTTCCCATCTTCTGTAACAGAGCCCTTATTTATTGCGGGGAACCCATTCCCTATGGCTTAGCTGAATACATAACCAGGTCTGGCCTCCCTGAGTTCTGCAGCTCCTTGACAGCAGTGATGAAAGCACAGGCATGTAACTCAGGCCAGGCCACAGAGAGCCCTCAGCAAACTGCGGAAACTATTGGCAACACGGCTCATGGAGATCCAGGAACTAAGGACTGTGTGTGTACCATGTGGGGAGAGTTTGAGGAGAAGCTCAGAGGCTAGCAGAAAGGACAGAGGACTGAGTTCTGATGTCATTTTTCTGGAGGCCCTTGATCCAGCTGTGCCTAAAGCCTGCCCTACCTCTGGACTTTAACGTTTTGTGAGCCAATAAAGTCCCTTTCTTGTTTAAGATAATTGAATTGGGTTTCTGTCCTGATTAATATAGGTTATTTGTATTTTCTTATTGATTTGTAGAAACCTCTGTAATTTTAAATTCTAGACTTACACTTTATGCACTATATAGGTTAATAAAATTAGCATGGACTTCCATGATTTGGCCTTTGTCAACCTCTGCCATTTGTTACTCCACTCTATACCACACGCCACACACATATACTTTACATACCAATAATAACTGAACATTGATGTTGGGAACGTCTGTGGATGAAAAGCTTTTCATATAGTTATGTCTTCAGGAATTTCTCTTCCTATACTTCATTCCAGGGACTGAGAAGGGATTACGCTGCTGATTATGCTGCAGCCATAGTTCTTGGACATTCCCCGCAAGTGTTTTCTGTATGTGACCCCAGGAGTCCCTCCCCATGACCTCCATCCCCCTTCCATGGTTCTTGGGGACCCTCATTTAGATCTCAGGCCTGTGGATTTGAAATTGCTCAAGCCCAAGACTTCTGGGGTTTACATCTGTTGCTCCTGTGTGTGGAAACTATATATATGGCAGTAAAAGGAAGAGACACCAAAAACATTCTACGTCTTGGTGAATAGTAAGGAGAAAATAAATCAGGAGAGGGATACGGAAACTGAGGAGGAAAGGCACTGCCATTTAGGTAGGTTGTCCAGGGAAGGTTTCACTGAGAATGTGGGAGTTGATGAAAGAGAGTGAGCATAAGAAAGCAAGCTGACACTGGAGAAGATTGCAGGCCTGTGAACACGGTACCAAGAACTCAATGTGGGAATAATGCCTGATTTGTTCAAGAAATAGCAAGGAGGTCAGTGTGTCTACAGCAGAAGGAACATGGGGGGAAGTAGTGGATGAAGCCAGAGAGAAAAGGGGGGTGAAGGCTATGGGCAGGGGGCAGATCATGGCAGACCTGGCTAGGCAGTGGTGGGACTATGATTTAACTTTGAATGAGGAAAGAAGTCACATGATTAGTTGCTGAGACTAGAACACAGTGTGTTGTTTCTTTAAAGTTTCAAAAACATTCTTTACATATTTTTGAAGGTAATATAGTAATAGAAAAGGTTTAGAAATAAAAAGGTAGTTAAAAAAAAAAAAAAAAATTTAAGCTGATAAGCTAGCCAGACTGATCAGGGGGAAAAAGCTAAAAATATCTGGAATGAGAGTGTGACTTTACATCATACAAATTTATGTTAAGAGTTCTAGTCAAGTTTGCTAATCTTGTCCTGCTGATTCTAATATTTATTAGACATTGCTTGAGCCATCACCAATATTTTGCATAATAGACAATTTCCTTCAGCTTACAGAACAACACTGGTTTTTTTCTGACCTCACGGATGCTTCTCAGTCTCCATTGCTGGTATGTACTAATTTTTCTGGACTACTGTATATTTAGAAAATGGAGAGGATGAGGAGGGTAGAATAGCTACCTTATTTTATCTGGATAGCAAGAATGTTTAGTAGAGCAATTCATCAGGATAGGGAATTGAGGAAAATATCGTTGGATGTATTTAAAAATTCATGAACTTGAGTTTACCAGTAGGACACAGGAGATGTGTAGTTAACAGTTGGCTCTTTACATTTCATTCTCATGAGAGATGGCTAAACTTCACTATAAAATTGACTACCGTTTTTCACTTTTTAAATTCTCCAAAGAACAGACAATAATTGATTGTACACTTGCCTCCCTACTCATTTCTCAACTTATCATGTCAGTACCTTCAAGCTCCTCTACTTCTGGGCCTCATTTTATTTCCAGACTTTCAAAGAGTTTTCCTTTCTGCTCTCTTCCTTTTAATCTTAGACTTCATAAAGCAGAGAAGTGAGCATGCCGTTCCCTGGTTCAAAGATCCTAATGGCTTTCCATTGTCTTGAGAGCAAAATGCAGAAATATATTTACTACCACCATACCAAGTACTTTTTAGATGACACTAAACCCCAGGAAGTGTAAGTGCCTGTTTGTTTACTATCACACTCCTTTTACTTTTCTTTTACTACACTTTTATTTCAATCTTATTCTTACTCTTTCAAGTACATGTTCCAGTCGTCATTTCCATAACACCCTAATTCTGAGAATATTTTTCCATTGATTTTTAGGGAAAGTGGGAGAGGGAAAGACAGAAAGGTCGATGTGAGAAAAACGCATTGATTGCCTTCTGCACAAGCCCCACCAGGGCCCAGGCCAGGGAGGAGCCTGCAACCAAAGTACCTGCCCTTAACCAGAATTGAACCCAGGACCCTTTGGTCCGCAGGCCAACACTCTACCTGCTGAGCCAAACTGGCTAGGGCTAAGTATTTTGTTTACCTTTATGATTACATTGAGCTATGTGTTTTCTGTATACATCAGTCTTTAAATAATACATGCTTTGTTGGGACAGTATACAAACCTTTGTGTACAAACTTTTTGTAGACTATAAAGCCTTAATAAATGCCATACACATAATAATTTGGCAATGCCTGGATTGAAATATTAGATAATTATGAGGGATATTCAAAGTATATGATTGCAGCATAATTTTAACAAATGTTTAATACCAGAAAGACAATTAGAATTTTTTTAAAAAATTCTATTTTTCAGTAAAAAACTTTGCATATATGTAGCCTAATATCAGTAGGCATGTCAAAAATCAACAAATGTCTGATGTATGTTGCCACTTAAATCAGTGGGTAGGTATTTTTAAACAGAATGTGCTACACAAATTAGTCATTGGGTGTTACTTTAGCTTTAATTTTGTTCAATTTATTGATGACAAGATTAAAATAGAGAAATCATCACAGTTTGACATATGAATTTTTTTATTGTTTCACATATTTAAGCTGTGATTAAATGGTAGTATTGAAATTATTTCAAACCACTAAAGATTGTAGGCTTTATTACTGAGAGCAAAAGAAATCCATATTTGCTGTGTACATCACAGGAACTTAAAAACTCCTCACCAGGAAAACCCAAAGTAGGCCACAAAACTTTTTTTTTTTTTTTTTTTTTTTTTGTAGAAAATGGGGCACTGCAGTTGTGTAGTTAATAAATTTAGTATCAGAATGGCATGATATCTGAATGCATAATAATCTGGCCACTCAATGTGTACATACATATATATATATTAGAGGCCCTGTGGATGAATTTGTGCATGGGTGGGGTCCGGCCAGCCTGGCTAGGGGGAGGAGACATGGGCGGTTGGACGGCCTGACTGTTGCTTGAACTCCCGGTCGATAGGACAATTTGCATATTAGCCTCTTATTATGTAAGATATACATTGGATTGAACAATCACTAGCATTAACATAAGGTAGAACTCTGCAGCTGTCAGCAGGTAAGTGCCATTTAAATAAGGAATTTTAAGTTTTCCTTACATTTTCTAAAATAACGTATCTAATATGTGATAGGTAATTTGGGCTCACTAAAGATCTGAAGTTACAATACTAACATATTTCTAAGTTCTGATTGCACACCCACAACACTGATTTTTACAATATCTGGTAAGGTTCTTAATTCCTTTAAAACACTCCTCTTGTGGATTGTACTTGATGAGAATTTCTCACATCATAGCAGATACAAATTTCCATTGTTGCTGACATTTAGTAAAATTTTTATTCACATTGAACATTTCCTCACAACACACGACTCTTCAGAATTTCTCTTGAGTTAAACCATTATAACAATTGAATCCATGCTTTTCTCTCCATTATGGGTGGTTTTTTCTTCTTCTTACAAAAGTTGAGCATTAAAACCTTTTTCATAATCATCAAGAGTATTCATAAGCTTTTTTCCAGTATAGTGTCTCTGGTACTGAATAAAGTTGGTGTATACACTAAAGATTTTCTCACATTCATCACATCTAGATTGTCCTGGCCAGAATGGACTTTTTCATGATCAATAAGTTCAGAGAGTTGGGTAAAACTTCTGTTGCACTGAATACACCAAAGTGGTTCCTCTCCAGTGTGGATACTCTGATGTTCAACATCAGTGCATGTGCTGAAGGCTTTCCCAAAAGTATCACCTCTATATGGCTTTTCACCATTGTGGATTCTTCGATGGTTAATGAGATCAGAGTGCCGACTAAAACTTTTGCCACACTGATCACACCAATACGGTTTCTCCCCAGTGTGGATCCTCTGATGTAGGATGAGAGCTGAGCACTGACTGAAGGCCTTTCCACACTCATTACATTTGTATGGTTTTTCCCCGGTGTGGGTTCTCTGGTGTTTGATAAGGTCTGAGTTCTGAGTGAAACTTTTGTTGCACTGTGTGCATGGGTATGGTTTTTCTCCAGTGTGAATTCTCCGATGAAGAATAAGGTCAGAACTCTGACTGAAGGCTTTCTCACAAGTATTGCAATGATAGGGCTTCTCCCCAGAGTGCACTCTCTGATGTTTAGTGAGGTCTGAGCTCTGACTAAAACTTTTATTGCACTGATTACATGCATATGGTTTCTCTCCAGTGTGGATTCTTTTATGTTTAACAAGGTCTGAACGACGACTAAAGCTCTTAGAACAATCACTGCATGGATAAGGTTTCTCTCCAGTGTGGATTCTCTGATGTAGAATAAGGTTGGAGCTTTGACTAAAGGTTTTCCCACACTCATCACATTCATAGGGTTTCTCACCAGTATGAATCCTATGGTGCTTTACAAGATCTGATCTTCGACTAAACATTTTAGTGCACTGGTTACATGGATAAGGCTTTTCTCCAGTGTGAATTCGCTGATGATTAATAAGATCTGAAAGTCGGCTGAATGTTTTGCTACACTGAGTACACGGATAGGGTTTCTCTCCAGTGTGGATTCTCTGGTGCAGAATAAGGACTGAACTCTGATTAAAAGCCTTCCCACATTCATTACATTTATAGGGTTTCTCTCCTGTGTGGATCCTTCGATGTTTAATAAGGTCTGAGTTCTGACTGAAACTTTTGCTACACTGATCGCATGGATATGGTTTCTCCCCGGTATGGATTCTCTGATGTAGAATAAGATCAGAGCTCTGACTGAAGGCTTTCCCACACACATCACATTTATATGGTTTTTCACCAGTGTGGATTCTTTGATGTTTTATAACATCAGAACTCTGACTAAAATGTTTGTTACACTGGTTACATGTATAAGGCTTCTCTCCAGTATGGATTCTCAAGTGTTTAACCAGGTCTGAGCGCTGGCTAAAACTTTTATGACAGTGACTGCACTGATAGGGTTTTTCTCCCGTGTGGATTCTCTGATGTATAATAAGATCTGAGCTCTGACTGAAGGCTTTCCCACATTCATCACATTTATAGGGTTTTTCACCAGTGTGGACTCTTTGATGTTTAATAAGGTCTGAGCTCCGACTGAAACTTTTAATACACCAATGACAAGGATAGGGTTTCTCCCCAGTATGAATTCTTTGATGCAGAACCAGAGCTGAGCTCACACGAAAGGCCTTCCCACACTTATCACATTCATAGCGTTTCTCCCAATGTTTTCTTTGATGCCTAATGAGGCCTGTACTCCAAGCAAAGTTTTGTCCACATTCATCAAAGTTACGCTGTCCTCTTTTAAAGATGTTCTTATCCTTTTCATTTAATGTATCCCCCAATTCACAGAATTCTCTGCACTCAGAATCCTGCAGAACATCGTCTCTGGGACTGTCAGACTCTTCAGCCAATGGTTCATTTTCTGCTGTGATTTCTAACTCCGGAGTCAGCTCTCCAATCTTGGTCTTGGTCTTACCATCTAGAACAATAAACAAAATTCAAATGGAATGTGTACTCTATACAAGTAAGAAAGTTTCAAGTGAAACAGATGTCATCACAATATGGAAGTGCTACAAAATCCAAAATTATCCTCTGAGAGGAAAACTAGGAAAACTCAATAAGTAATGGACCACAATATTCAGTTAAGAGAAGTGACTTACCAGATTTGATCTGTATATATTTGTCACAGGAGATTTGAGAATACCAAAATCTAATCACAGTGACTACTAGGAAAGTTAGACTAAATTAGAGCTGCTACATAAACAATTTATGAACATTTGTAAGGTAAACAATGTGAAATAATCGGGAATGGATGCAGGAGGCAGCAGTGCACAGGTTGTCACTGAGAGGGTATACCTGGCTGGTCAGAGGCAATCATTATGGTAAAGAAATAAGCATCATGCCCAGGAATAGTCAAGACAGAATCCGAAATTAAAAAAAATATGTCTTTAGATACTCCTCCATCTCTTTTGTCTTGATTATTACCAATGAATTGGCCAAGAATGCATAAGCCCTTTTTTGAGTTAGCCAAACTTTGGTTAGTCACTGCCAAACTTCCTTACTAAGGAGAGTAAATTAGGAAAAGGTCAGAGAGATGGGGTCAGAAATCTCGAGTTGATTTTTGAGGAGGCCATTCTTTGCTCAACAATTCCAGATCCTGTGATCATAGGCACTATGAGAACTCCATTAAATTTCTTGATTGTCAGCCCAATGTTAAACACACCACAGCCAGCCACAGCAGCTCATTGGTTGGTTGACGACCTATGAATCAGGTCATGGTTTGATTCCTGATCAGGAGAATATGCTGGTTTGGGGGTTCAATTCCCAGTGGGGGTGTGTGCAAGAAATTGATGATTTTCTTTCTCATCCATGTTTCTATCCCTCCCCCCCCACACACAAAAAATCAATAAAAACATACTAAAAAAAGATTAAGTACAATAAATTAAATGTTTATGTTGTAATTTTGAAGGCAACCCTTTTCAACTGGGGTTCTGTAAGAAAATGGTGTGAGTGACTATTTGTAATTCTCCCCAAAATGATACATAGATACCATAATAGGAGTGACAATACATTACTTACAATGGATGCTTAGAGTGCTTGGGCTAAATTCTCTCACAGAATCACATCTGAGAAAAGTTGCTATGAAGTAACTAGTAAATAACAATGAAATAATGTATAAACCAATAAAATTAATATAAAAATTTAAAACGAAAACCTGATAATGCAAAATTAGGCTAAAAAGGAGACAAAAGAAACAAAACATGGGATGAATAAAAACAAGGAGATGGTACACTGAAATGCAAACATCAATGATGTTATATGTAAATTACCAATAAAAGGCAAAGAAAAACCAATAGCTCACATTATACTTAATGGGTAAATAATGAATGCTTTTCTTTCATGAACAAGGAAGCAAAGCAAGGATACCCTCTTTTAACATTTCTGTTCCACACTGTGCAACTTCTATTCAGTATTCCTAGCCAATGCAATAAGACATAAAAAATAACTGAAACATAAATAAGAACAAAGTCAAACTGTCTTTACTTACAGATGACACAATCACATATATAGAAAATCCTTGTGTCTCAAAAAAGCTATTAGAATTGGTAAATAAGTTTATTACAGCAGTATACAAACATCAATTGTATTTCTGTATACAATGAGCAATTGTATAAAAAATGAAATATTTAAGTATAAATTCAGCAAAAATATATATGAATAGCAGTGGGGGTAGTGAAGTTTTAGGTTTCAGGTGGAAGTATGATTTCATTATATGTCAACCTGCAATGAAATAGAAGCTTAAGACTTTGTTCTTCTGCTGTGTTGGGAACATAACAACCTAAACAAAGGACAAAGGTGGATATCATAGGTTAAAAAGGGTGGGCTGTGATGGATATTGTCCTTCTATACCTGTAGATCTGTTCACCCTGCTCTATGCTTCAGTAGGTTGATAATAGGTTATGCACTGCATCACTTGGGGTTCTGTGCTTTCTGGCTTGCAATTAAATTTAGCTAAAAGTGGGAGGAGAATTGTAGAGTGACCAATTTTCCCGATTTCCCCCCAACAGAGTTGCTGCTCAGGATGTGGGACTTTCAGTGCCAAATCCTAAGCAAACTGGGATGAGTTGGTTACCCTACATCCTGGCTTCCCTCACATCCTGGCTTCCCTCTTCCTGGGCCAGGAATGGGAAGTAATTGTTTCTTTTAGCAAAGGCTACAGCTCCTATTAGGCAGCTCTATTCTATAGCTCCCCACTCCAGGATCTGGTAATCAACCTCTCCTCTTGTACCTTAAGGCCAAGAGGTAGTAAGTGCTCATCATTGTTTGTCTCCAAGCTGTTCTCCATCCCTTGTTGATTTCTGTAACCCTTCCATCTTTTTCATGAAACTTTGAATTACCCCAATTGAATGAGCCCACTGTCTTTTGCTAGAATACTGACTGATACATCTGGTTTATTTTTTCCATAACCACTATTACTACCTGATATTGTACTATATATTTGTTTATTTCCTATTTTCCCCACTAGAATGTAAGCTCCTTGAGGGCAAAGTCTTGTCTGTTCAGTTCACTGCTTTATCCCCCACACTTAAGAGCAGTGCTTGGTACAGAGTAAACTCTCATTAATTAATAATATTATTTGGACAATAATAATTAACAAACTTATTAATAAGCATTTATCAACAAATATTTATTAAATAGTTAAATTATTTGAAGGATACATAAATGTTAATGACTAGGTTATTTAAACTTTCTGTTTTGTATCTTTCTACATTTTATAAATGCACTTTTGTATTAACTATAATTAAAATGCTATTTTATACGCACTTTAAGAGAAACAAACAGATGCAATATAATATGTACATCAATTTATGTAAAACTTCAAGGAGGAGGCTCAGTGATTCTCAGGAAAGATGAGAACTAGATGCCTAAGGACAGATTCTTAAAGAAAGACAAATTCTAAATATAGGATAAATAAAATAAAGATGCTCCAATACTAAAAAGAGGCAGAAGACCTAGGGAGAAAGGGATAACAGAAGTTGAATTTCTTAGAAAAAACAGTGGCTACTATTTATAAAGAACTTAGTACCAGTCAGGTGTGTTCTCAGGGTTTATATAGGATCTCAGCTAGAGCCTGTGGTGCTTGTTACAGTAATAACTATAGGCCTGGTGCACAAAATTCATGCATGGGTAGAGTCCCTAGGCCTGGCTGGCGATCAGAGCCGGTCTTTGGGACGACCAGCAGGGCGATCGGGGTCCCCCTGCATCCACCTTGGAGGGGACTAGCGGAACAATCGGGTGGAAGGGGTGACGCTGGTACCCACCTAGGCTGGCCTGGGGCCTGTGGGATGGGGGCAGCTCCTGCACTGAGCATCTGCCCCCTACTGGTCAGTGCACATCATAGTGACCAGTCATTCCACTGTTAGGTCAATGTGCATATTAGGCTTTTATTATATAGGACTAGAGACCATGGGGTGTGGAAGTCCTCAGCCCAGCCTGCACCCTCTCCAATCTGGGACCCCTTGAACATCCATCCCTCTTGCAATCTGGGACTGCTGGCTCCTAACTGCTCCCCTTCCTGCCTGCTTGATCGTCCCTAACCACCTCTGCCTGCCGGCCTGATGCCCCTAACTGCTCCCCTGGCTGCCAGATCGCCTCTAACCACTTTTGTCTCCTGGCCTGATTGTCCCTAACTGCCTCTGCCTGCCAGCCTGATTGCCCCCTAACTGCCCTCCCCTACCTGCCTGATCACCCCTAACCACCTCTGCCTTGGCCCCCACCACTGTGGCTTTGTCTGGAAAGATATCTGGTCTAATTAGCATATTACCCTTTTATTATTATATCGAGTTGGGCCCAACTGAATCCTATTCCCCCAGTATCTAAATCCTTGTGTAGTTCTCACCCACAATGACTTTGGAACTGGTCATGTGACTTGCTTGGTGAATGACATATTAACAAATGTAACACAAACAGGTTAGAAAGTGCTTTGCATCCCAGGGCTTGGCCTCTGCCTGAGCTTGGAAACTTGCTGCCCCGTGAAAAAGTCTGGGCTACCGGCCATAGAAATCACAACAGCCAGACGTACGCAACTGATTATTACTGATACTGGCTTAGACCTGCCCTAGCTGAGCAGCTAGATGACGGCATGAGTGATCACAGGCAAGACCTGAAAAACACAAAACAACTGCCCAGCTGAACCCAGCCCAACTTGATGACCACAGAACCAAAGAAAATAACATGGTTTAAAAATGCCTGATCTTTTAGGTCACTGTTTTGGGGTCCCTTCTTCTGGAGCGATAGACGTGATCCTCAAAATAACCTCCAAGACATGAATTAGTATGTACAAATACTAATGAGGAAACAATCATTAAAAAAAAAAAAAATTGCGGCGTAACTGGTTTGGCTCAGTAGATAGACCCTGTGGATTGAAGGGTCCTGGTTTGATTCTGGTCAAGGATACATGTCCGCATTGCAGGACATGCAAGAGGCAGCCAATCAATGATTCTCTCCCATCATTGATATTGCTCTCTCTCTCTCTTACCCTTTCTTTCTGAAATCAATAAAAAAATATTTAAACATTTTTTTAAATTTTATTTTTAAAATATATGTTATTGATTTTTTTCAGAGAGGAAGTAAGAGGGAGAGTTAGAAACATTGATGAGAGAAACATCAATCAGCTACCTCCTGCACGCCCCCTACTGGGGATGGAGCCTGCAACTAAGGTACAAACACTTCACTAGAATCAAACCTGGGACCTTTCAGTCCGCAGGCCGACGCTCTATCCACTGAGCCAAACCGGTCAGGGCAGAAAGAAAAGATTTAAAAGGGGGAATATCGAATACTAACAGATTGGTGATAAGGTGATTATAATGAGGAAAATAGATGATTTGGGGACTTAAAGGAGAGGGAGGCATTCCCTGAGAACGTGATTGCCAGAATTCACAACAAAGTCACGTGACTGTGCTTGCAGCACTGAAGGGCGGGCACTGCCTAACAGTGAAGTGCAGGTAATGAAGAATGCCAATAACACCGATGACACTGATATAGCAATGGTGACACCCCCACCCCCAAAACCACCCAGAGAGAGAGAATACACTGCTGCTCACCTGGCAGAAGCGGGTGGTCTTGAGCTTCAGAATTGAGCGGTATCTCCATGGGCTGCCGCTGCACACCTGACCCTCAGGAGCGCCCGGAGCATCACCATGGCCTCGGGGGCTTTTCTTGTCCAGGTCGGGCTCTGAGACCCCGAGGCAACTGGGCACCACCGGGCTGGGGAGCGAATCACTGCGGAGCCGGGAGATACAATTCCCGACACCAGGCTACCAAAGAACGTCCTCCAGATGTAAAGAAATAAAGAAGGAAACAAAACCTCCTGTGCAAACTTACTAAGCTTCCTCTCTCATCACCCAGGCGTCAGGCAGTACCCCCCGGGGACATGTCTTCTCCGTTCCTTCAGGCCCCATTGGAGGCAATGCCAGCCACGTCAGGTAGAGCTGCAACGACCGGACACTGCTGTTCGCTTCCCTTCCACCTGCCGAGCCTTCATGGAGGAGTCTTTTCTTCCTCCCCTTCATGCCTTCAGGCTGCTCTTCCCAGGCGCGGGGGGCTGGCGCGGAGGCACCCAAGCTTCTGCCCCACCCACCCCCGGTGCGCGATGTTCATTCAACGGAACCCAAGGGCCAGCAAAGACGGCCTGACCACGCTCGCCGGGCCTAGAAGCCGCGCCCAGAGGCGACCCCGGCGACCTGGACGCCCCACGGCCTCAGGCCGCTTCCAAGGCGGGATCCCGCGCGACCCTACGCCTCTCGCGAGCCCACAGCGCCAGCACCTCGCAGCTCTGCGGCCGCCGCCGGCCCCGCGCGGCACCACCTCGGCCCGCTCTAGGAAGCGGGCGGACCCGCAGCTCTATGGCTGGGCGCGCACTGCGCACGCGCCGGGCGGCCGGAGACTTAATACCCGCGCATCCGCGGAGCTGCCCGCAGCCCGGAGCTGTCCCAGCCCCGCTGTAGCGGGGGCCCTGGGAGCGGACACAGAGCCCTGGCCTCGCCTGCCGGTTCTTGACGTGAATGTCGGAAAACAGCTCCCGGGAAAGCGCCCTGGGGCGGGTAGGTTCTGACTGCAGGACGAGTTCTTCCTCAGTTACCGCCTTGGCCTCCCCCTAGACTCCCTCTCCCGCGTGTGCTCCATTCTCCTTTCCTCCTGCCCTCCCGGGTCCCCGGAGCTTTGCAGAGCCTCTGAGTCCGCGGGGACCTTGGGGGCATGCCGGCCGCCGGGCCCCAGGGACGCAGTGGGCCGGTGGGAGCCGGGTCCCAGGGGCGCCGGCTGCTCTGATTCTCTGCCGCATTGGGGCAGCAGCGCCCTGGAAACCAGAGACGCCGGGCAGTTAAGGCCCACATTTCTGGGAATACAGCTGGCTGTCTTCTGCCATCAAGAAAGGCCATAGGGGCCCTAGTTGGTGTGGCATGCAGACTGAAGGGTCCTGGGTTTGATTCTAGTCAAGGGGAATGTACCTTGGTTGCTGGCACATCCCGTGTGTGTGTGTGTGTGTGTGTGTGTGTGTGTGTGTGTGTGTGTGCAGGCGGCAGCTGATCGACGTTTCTCTCATTAGTGTTTCTCTCTACCCTCTCCCTTCCACTCTGTAAAAAATCATATTAAAAAAAAAAAAAGGGGGGGGGGCCATAGGGGCCCTAGTTGGTTTGGCCTGCAGACTGAATGGTCCCAGGTTTGATTCCAGTCAAGTGCACACCCCTTCCTCTCTGAAATAAAACAAAATTGGGTAATGGCTAGAGGAATGTTAAGGCTCATGATAGAAAAACAAACAAAACAGCACCTAGGATGCCTTGAAGAGATTGTTAGTAGAAATATGGATATTAATGGTGATCCTGGAGAGGGCTCAGAAGAAGTGAAAAGGACAGTGAGAAATGTCCTTTCATCTTAGAGAATACGTATGTTGTCATGAACAGAATGTTGCTAGAAATCATGAGCATTAGAGATATTTCTGGCGAGGACTCAGACAGAAACAAGGGCTTGGTTCTTACAGACCCTGGTTCAGAAGCCAGGACATGTCGCTGGTTCTGTTCTTTCTATTTATGATCACTGAGTTGGGTGGCCTATCCCAGGCTCAGAGTGACCTAAGCGCTCTTGAAGTCCTCAGGAGAATTTGAGTGATAGAAGAAGTGTCTTCTGGAAAAAGGCAGGTACATGCACCAAAGAAAGAAAACATGTTGGAGGCTAGAGGGACAGTTGGGACTGGAGAGTCTGTGTCCATTTAAGGTAAACATTATTCCCCCCTGGACTGCCTCTATCCCAAAAGAAACAAGGCTTGAGCAAAAGGGAAAGGCATGAATTACTTTCTATCCCACTGGTGAAGGAAAAACAATTACCTTTGTCACTGGCAGCTGGCTTATTGGCTGGTCACACATGTAAAAGGTCATGGTCTTTTTTCTGTACAAGTGTGAACATACTGAGAGAGGAGGGGAAGGCCATGGCAATTGCCCTGACTCTTGCTCAAGGGTAGGCAGTGTGTGTGTGTGTGTGTGTGTGTGTGTGTGTGTGTTTCAAGAGGCTACTTGCTGCCTGGCTGGCGTGGCTTAGTGGTTGAGCAGGAACCTATGAACCAGGAGGTCACAGTTCATTCAGGTCAGGGCACATGCCAGGTTTCGGGCTTATATGGTGCCTTGAGACACCCCTTCCCCCCTTTATAAACACACAGAATGTTGAAGCTCTCTGTAAGAGATCACTTACTTCAGCTCCTTTGAACTGAGTCTAGATTGTCAGTTGACTGGCTTACAGCTGCAGAATGGAAAAGAACCAGCAAGAACAAAGGTCTCCACTTCAAGGCTATTCCTTTTCTCACCTATAAATCATGCAGATAGTTGACATGTGCAGATTTACAATTTGTAGACACTGTGTGTATGTTAGTGTGAGATGGGTAAGTCTACCGTTGTTGTTTGCCAACAAGGAAGTCACAAACCGAGTTAACAAATTAGCCAATCTCCTAGGACAGGTGTCGGCAACCCACGGCTCCGGAGCCCCATGCGGCTCTTTTTGTTAAGTGAAAAAATCCTTTTTCTGCACGATCCGGTATATAGCATTAAGGTAAGAAACAATATATGCAGTGTTATATTTGTTTTAAATGTCGCAATGGTTTTGCGGCTCCCAGGTTTTTTTTTTCCTTCGAAAACAGGTCCAAGTGGCTCTTTCTTAAAGGTTGCCGACCCATCTAGGACTTGGAAGAGATGCTGTGGAAAGCATGTACTTTTCTTAATATTTCCCAACTACCCTGGGCTGCCACTTCCTTTCATTCTTTTTTCCCTCTAATTTTACAAGTTTTACGTACTTATTGCAAGAAAATTTGTAAGACACAGCGTGGGAAAAATGAAATAACCTATAATATTATCACTCAGAGAACTAGTATAAGCACTTTAAGATTATTTATTTCCAGTATTTAATGCATAAGTATATTTTACATGGAATCATATGGTATGTAATTGTCTTACTTTTACATATTGTTTTGTCCTTTAATATCAACATCACTTTTAAGATTGTATTCATTGATGATGGTTTTTGAAGCATACATTTATAGGTAGAATTTTAAAGTCAAAAGGCAATGCTTAAGGCTTCTGGTTTGATTGCCACAGACAGTATCTACTCACATCCCACTTGCAACATTAGAGTCCCAATTTCCCTGAATTTTTGTTAAGTTTGGTGAGGGACATCTCAACTCTTGCTTCAATATAGCCTTTTTAATTCTAGCAAGGCTGAACACTTAGTATCAATAAAATCCATTGAATTATTCTTTTGTGACTTGCCTATTTAACTTTTTTTCCTGTTGACTTTTTAATGGGGAGACAGTGTAGAGAAGTAGAAGGGTTCTGGATTCCTACTGCCTGGTTCAGTCTAACGTCACCACTGTGTAGTTATGTGAGAGTAAGCTGCGATCCTAAGCCTTCATTTCCTCGTGTGCAAAATATGGGCATCTGAGAAATAACTAGTACATATACACAAAGCCAAACAAGCACCTATTGATCTGTGAAAGAACTTTGTGTAAAGAATATCCTCCTTCTGTGATAGATGGTGTATCATTTGTAGTTTGTCCTACCCTTTCAGTTTGTGGAAGAAAACAGGAGTTGAATAACTCTTGTTGCATTTTACCATCTTTTCCAAATGATTCTCTCCCTTTCTTTTTTCATTCTAAGCTTGGGCAGTTGGCCCTCCTGCCATTCCTGCTGGTTAATACATGCTCACCTGCGTGTGCCCCAACTGGAGTACTACTCTCTTTTCCTCTGCACAAGATTCTAGATGCCCAAAGATTTCTATTTTTGGTGAGTTATAACCGTTAGGTATTTTGAATAACAGGTTTTTCTCTTGCTGGCTAGCCTATATCTCTTCCCACATTACTGTAGGGAAGTACCAGTCTAGAGGTACTTTTCCTGCTGTTCCCTCAGAAGATGGGAATCTCTGGATGGACCATGACTATTGCTTTCTGTTGTCACTTCCCTTTAGCTTTGTCTATAACAGAATTCATGAAAGACTGAATGCTGTTGATATAAGACAAAACTGATCATGTGTGAGTACTTGGAGAATAAGTCACAGACCCAGCAAATGACAAATATTTTTAGCATCTGAGCCCAAAGCAGTGCACTAGGAACTGTGGGGGTGCAGCCCCAATGATATGGCAGCCATAGCAAGCTTCTGATTCAGAGCACTGGAAGGTGGGAGGAAGTTACTAGCAACTTTGTCAGTTTTACTTGTAAGAACCAAAGATGTCCTTCTGTCTGGGACATTTAGACTCTCAACTACCAGGCTGGGTCTTTTTGGCCCCACCCTCACCCTCATGGAAGGTCTAACCTACAGGTAGGGCAAGGAAACTATTAACCCTTTTTCTGGGGCCCACCAGACGAAGACAAAACTCGCCGCCTGGTGACCCAAGGACTCCAGGGTTTTTCTAACAGACTCCTCCAGAGGCTCCTGTTTTACTGTAGGCACTGCTTAAGAGACTGGCTGACTCCACTTCACTAGGACCTCACCAGGCATGCTCCACACAAAGGGGGCTTTTAATTTCTCACTTTCTTCCAGACCTGTGTCTATGTTCCCCCTCAACCTTCAGATCGTTTTCCTTGACCAAGTTTGGGTTAGGGACTTCTTAATGTCATGTGGCACTGATCATACCAGTGCCATTGCTGGGTTTTCTCTGTCAATTAAACTGTACAAAATGTCTTTATTTCCCAAGATACCTAGCTCCTGGCACAAAGAACTCAAAAAGAACTGCTGGGTAAATTAATCTGTATTATTACTGTCTCATTTCTAGCCAACCCTGGGCTCATTAAATTACTTATTAAACTGTTTCCCCATCTGTCTTGCTGTCCTGTCACTGTTCTTAATTGATCAGTAAACTTTAGCATTCCTGAGACAAAATGTCCCTCATATTGTCCCCCAAACCTGGCACACCAGCAATCAGACTGAGTGACTAGAGCATGGACTGCTTACCCTCTTCATGACATTACCTGGAAAATGAGGTTTCAGTGCACTAGTCCATTTTTCCTATTTCCTGAGTATTCCTAATGGTAAGAGAAAAGGAGGAAGCAACAATTCTCCCACCTGCTGCTCTGACTAGTCACAGGAAAAGCTTTCAAGGGATAATGTGCATGTGCACTGGGGAGAGCTGCAGAAAATCTGACTGACACAAGACCTAGGAGTTTATAACATTCATGGAGTCTTTGACTAACAAAGATAAACATTTGACAGAAGTATCCTATACAATAGAGGTAATATGCAAATTGACCCTCACACAAGATGGCCACCCCCATGTGATCAAAGATGGCTGCCACAAGATGGCCAGCAGGGGAGGGCAGATGGGGGCGACCAGGTCAGTAGGGGAGCAGTTAGGTGTTGATCAGGCTGGCAGGCAGGCGAGATGTTGGGAGCCAGCAGTCCTGGATTGTAAGGGATCCCAGATTGGAGAGGGTGTAGGCTGGGCTGAGAGACTCCCCTTTCCCCTCAAGTGCACAGATTTCATGCACCAGGCCTCTAGTTTATATTCATTGTATTCACCAACCAGTTACTTTATACAGTGTGGACTCTCTGATGGCGCATGAGGACTGATCTGTGCCTGAAAGCCTTCCCACATTCATTACATATATAAGCTTCATCCCCAGAGTGGATTCTCTGATGCTGAACAAGGGCTGAGCTCCTTTTGAATGTTTTGCCACATTCAATACATTGATAAGGTTCCTCTCCACTATGAATTCTCTGATGTCTAATGAGATTTGAGCTCAAACTGAAGGCTCTTCCACACTCATTGCATTCATAGGGCTTCTCTCCACTATGTATTCTCTGATGGGTTATCAGCTCCGAGCTCTGCCTGAATGCTTTCCCACATTCATTACATTCATAAGGTCTCTCTCCTGTGTGGATTCGCTGGTGTCTTACAAGCTTTGAGCTTTGGCTAAAGGTTTTCCCACACTCATTACATTCATAGGGTTTCTCACCAGTATGAATTCTTTGATGGATGATGAGATAGGAACTTTGACTGAATGCTTTGCCACATTCATTACACTTACAAGCTTTCTCACCTGTATGAATTTTCCGATGTCTAATGAGAGCCGAGCTCTGATTGAAGGCTTTTCCACACTCACTACATTCATATGCTTTCTCTCCACTGTGAATTCTCTGATGAATAATCAGATACGACCTCAAGCTAAAGGCCTTCCCACACTGGCTGCATTTGTAGGGCTTTTCTCCGGTATGGATTCTCTGATGTTGTGTTAGAGAGGAATGATGTTTAAACCTGTGCCCACATACTTCACATCTATGAGGTCTCTCTTCTGTAGGAACTTTCTGAAATGTTATGGAGTTTGTACTTAGAATCAGGCTTCTTTGTGGCTCATGATGGAATCTCTTGCTTAGGGATTTGTGTGTGATGGCTTGAGTAAAACTGCCTGCTGGGGAAGGGGAGCTTCCTAATTTCTTCCTTGAAGCACTTCCTTGCTGCCACTCGAAGCTGCTTTTGTGTTCACTGATTCCTCTGAATGAAAGTTCCTGGGGAAGTCCTGTTTTTCCTCCTGAATTATCCTCCTTTGTCGATTCATTGTTCTCACGATCTGAAATGATAACAACAAAAGCCAGATTTTTAATTTCTTCAGTCACTCTCAACACTCACTTTTTTTTTTTTAATTTATTTATTTATTTATTTTTACATATTTTAATGATTTTTTTTTTGCCCCCCTCCCTCCCTCCCCCATATCCCCTCCCTCCCCATAGTTTTATGTCCATTGGTTGTACTTATATGCATGTATACAAGTCCTTCGTCAACACTCACTTTCAATGTGAGAGAAAACAGATGTGCCAAACACAAAAGATATCACTGTTCACATATATCTGTAACACTGACTCTGTGGACAACACCTCCCTTCCAGAAACAGCGATATTAGCCTGATTTCTGTGGCTGTTCCTTCTCAGATTCAAGGCCAACCACTCAAACATACGTTCCTTCAAATTTTGTGCTGGGCTCTCATGTATCATCTCCATTCTATAAACTGTCTATCCTCTAGACTTCAATTACTAATGTACTTACGTTATACACTAATTAGATCCCCAGTTCTACCCTGTTTCCTCTGGTAAGCTCTAAACTTTCATATCCAGTGCTAACTGGACATATTTACTTGTGAATATTTCTTTAAAAAAAAAATTGTTTTTAGTGATTCTTTTTTTTTTTTAAAGTGAAGATAACTGATTTTTTTTCTTTTTAAAAAAAAATATTTTGTTTTTTTCAGAGAGGAAGAGAGGGATAGAGAGTTAGAAACATCGATGAGAGAAGATCATAGATGAGCTACCTCTTGCACAACCCTCACCAGGGATGTACTTGCAACCAAGGTACATACCCTTGACCGGAATCGAACCCAGGACCTTTCAATCCGCAAGCTGATGCTCTATCCACTGAGCCAAGCTGGTTTCAGCTACTTGTGAATATTTCACAAGCGCCTAAATACATCATCAGTATGTTTTTTTCTTTATGTTTTCCATGTATATGAAATAGGCCCACTATTAACCAAGCAGTTAAGACTAAAACCTGAAACCCCCATTCCTACCCACATACTCCATTTTAACAATGACCAACTAATTCAGTACAATCTAAATACCGTTAAGCAGGAGTCAACTTTGATATTCCCCACCTCTCACCATAATTCACCTTGATTTACTCACTGTGGCCACTTGATTATAAGTTTCTAACAGGGCTCTCCTCCTGCCTTCAAATGTATTCTCTATCCTGCAACTAAATTTTAAAACATATATCCAATCACGTCATTCCCTTGTTCAAATCCCTTCAAATGTAACCCCCTGCACTGTACAAACTAATTAGAATGACATACAGGTTTCCACAATCTGGGTCCCATTTCCTGTCCAGTTTCTCTTACTACCTCTCCTCTATTAATTCTCTGTTCAGGTTAAATTGAATTATCTGCAATTCCCACAATGGGGTATATTCTCTCACCTTCAGGACTTTGTGGCCTTTGCTTGTGTGATATACTACTACTAGAGGCCCAGTGCACTGGTAGGGTCCCTAGGCCTGGCTGGCCATCAGAGCTGATTGGGCCTTCCAGCTGCTGGCTGGAGTCTCCCTTTTTGGCTGCCGGTCAGGGTTTTGCTTTGTTCCATGCTGCCCCCTGGTGGTCAGCACACATAGCAAGCAATTGAAAACCCAGTCTCCTGGTCAAACTCCCACAAGGACAATTTGCATATTAGGTTTATATATATATGTAGATATTTGTTCTTCATCCCCAGTTCTGGGCACAGAGTTTTTAAAACCCTTAAAATTTCCTAAGTGGTAGATGTGAGAGGAGTCATTGTTTGTAAGCCCCTACCAACTATACCTGGGATTATGCTAATGAGTTGACTCTTGGAGGTAGGCTGATTGCCATAGGAACCAATCAAGTGATTAGAGGATTGGAATTTTCAGCCCCATTTCCTGACTTTCAGGAAGAAGGGCTGGACTAAGTTAGCTAGCTAATCATCATCGACCAATGATTTCATCAATTGTGCCCAGGTAAGGAAACCTCTGTAAAAAACAAAACGTTAAAGGCGTTGAGAGAGCTTCCAGGATGGTGAATGCATCCAAGTGTCAGGAGACTGGTATCCCAAACTTCACAGCTCCAGAAGCTCTGCACTCAGGACCCTTCTGGCTTTACCCCATGTACTGCTAGTTCTTTTATATCCTTTATGATAAACCAGTGGCAGTAAGGGAAACCCCCGAGTCCTGTGAGCCATTCAAGAAACTACGAAACCCGAGGAGGGGGACATGGAATTGTCAATTCACAAAAAGTCAGATGTGTGGGTAACTTGGACTCGTTACCTGCAATTGGCATCTGAAGTGGGGGGTCAGTCTTGTGAGACTGAAACCTTAACCTGTGGGATCTACACTAATTCTGGGGAGTTAAGTGTGAGAACTGATTACTGTGAGGGGAAAACCCTATACATCACATTAAGTGTCAGAACTGCTATGCGGGAAAATCTCAGACATTCAGTGTCAGAAATATTGAGAAAGTCTTTTCCTTTAGCCTATTTTCCCCACATCTAGTTCAAGTCTTAGATGTCTCTATAAGAAGTATTCCTTGAACCGCTAAGATTGGGTACAGTGCCCAGTGCCTATTCCTATTCTATAATTTACTACACTATACTGCAATTGCCTTCTTGCTTGTCCACCACCTACATAAACCTGAAAGTTCCTTGAAGACAGAGACCCAGTGCCTATTAGACATGTATTATTACTCAGGTAAGATACATAAGGAAGGAATAAAGAAGGAATCCTATCTAATAAAGAGGGAATATAATAATTGACCCTCATGCTGTTGCAAAGATGGCAGCACCTACACCTAATAAGGAGGAACATGCTAATTGACTGCCCCACTCTCAAAGATGGCAGCGCCCACACCCTATGAGGGCGGTGCCTGATCCCCTCAGCTCTGCTGGGGCGGCGGGCGTGTGTCCACTCTGTGCACATGCCTTTGGAGTCCCCCAGTCTCCTCAGCACCCCCAGGGATGACCTGAGATGCAGGCAAGCCTTGGATGGCGGCTGCCTGTGGCTCAGGTAACCAGGGCCGGCTGAGGCTTGTGCTTCTGGCAGTGGCAGCAGTAGAGGCTGAAGGGGCATCGCCTCCTGCACCTAAGGGCTTCTGGACTATGAGAGGGGCAGGCCAGGCTAAGAGAAGAATTTTCATGCACTGGGCTTCTAGAAAGTAAATGAATGACAGGGAAACTGACACAAGGAAGCCTGACTGTGATCTGTGAGGGTTGCTGAATACAAAGCTGTTAAATTCTAGGTCAAGAGCACCTCTGGCCTAGAATAATAAAGGTGAGGCTTACATGTGGCATGTTTGTAAAATGCAATTCATTGTGTATCTTCAAAGCCAGAGGCCCAATTGATAACAGTTCCCAGATGAGTTCCTATTTCTTACCACTTTGGGGGTAAAGGCAAGGTTCCCAAGGTTTCAGCTGTGCCTTTAAAGGCTGGAGTTGGGTGTTTAACTCGCGGGATGCTCCAAGACATGTCAGATCCTTCCATGGTAATGCTTGTTCTTGTGGACTAGCTGGAATCTGAAACCAGTAAAATACGGTTAGTGTGGTGAGAAAATCCCTAGGGAAATGCTTAGTAAAAATCTCAGAGGTTAACAAAGACATGCCAGGCATGAGGGATAAGGGAAAAATAACTAAAGGTAGAGAAGGGCATGGCCCTAGTAGTCACTTCAGGGTCATGGTTCCATAGAGACAAATTTCCATCTACTGTTATGATGACGCCACATGCTCCAGTTTGTAAATTCCTCTTCCCACAGCATACTGTACCTCCCTGTCCCCACCTGCTGCCCAGGATCATCAAATTCCCTCTCCAGGTCCTCCAACAGAGTCACAGCTTCCTCGCCACTTTTGGGACCACGTTGCTGAACCCAGGCCCGCAGCTCCTCGGGCAGGATGCTCAGGAACTGCTCCAGCACCAGCAGCTCCAGGATCTGCTCCTTCGTGTGCAACTCTGGCATGAGCCACTGGTGGCACAGCTCCTGGAGGCGGCCCAGGGCCTCCCGGGGCCCAGGAGTCTCCTGGTAGCAAAACTTCCTGAACTGCTGGCGAAACAATTCTTGGCAAGATCGAGTACTCCCATTCTGCTTTAATTTCTGCCCCCAGGAAAGGCTTTCTTCCACTTTCACTAGTATTAGTTCTTGTTCCTGAGGATCTGGAGGTAGCAGGGTTGAAACGGCTCTGCATTCCATAGCCATTCCGGCCTGAAACAGCTGATAAAAAACTCACAACTGGGTTCTCTACTTCAGAAATTCTTTGAATAACCTCTTCTTTCCTGAAGAGTGAAAAAGCACTGTTAACTTATAGCAGTGAAAAAAAAACAAAACCACACCTCGAAGGACTGATAATAAACACCAGTCAGCCCAATAATATACTGAAAGGGAGCCAGTTTGAGGATGTAAATAAATAATAATCGTGTGGCAAACTAAAATTCACTCATGTCTTTCACTGTGTCCTATTTTATAGAATTTCTACCACTAATTCTATAAGAAATTATTTTAGAAGCAAAATAATGCAATACTAACATGAGTCACATACTGAGAAACTTCCTTTTTAATTCTTTCAATTCTGACGCATCGAGGAGAAAAATCTCTTTAACATGTAAAACAGTACTATTTTTTTGTAAAAATCTTATTTTTATTGATTTCAGAGAGGAAGGGATAAAGAGAGAAACATCAATGATGAGAGAGAATCATTGATAGGCTGCCTCCTGCAAGCCCACCAACTGGGGATTAAGCCTGCAACCTGGGCATGTGCCCTGACTGGAATCAATCCTGGGACCATTCACTCCGCAGGCTGACGCTCTATCCACTGAGCCAAACCAGCCAGGGCAGAACTCCCTCTTTAATAAAGTTATAAGCCTCAGACTACCAAAGGTAACAGTATCTATCTGGGATTTTAAAATGCTGATTTTAAAGAATATATTTTTAGTAAACTATGGCAAATAGTGTTGATTCATTTAAGGTACTAGTAGTAAAACAGTTTTAAAAAAATGCATATTAAATATTTAAATAAAAATGTTGAATATTTGCCATTTGATCAATTTTGGTATTCACTGAATTTCTTCAAGGAACACAGGAACTAATTATGTTCTCTGTCCTGAGCCCCGTCAGAGGATGCAAAGGCTTTTGCTCCTGAATAAATGACTCTACCTGGGAATAACCAAGAAGTTCTTGTTTGAAACCACGTCAGATATAGAGACAGAAGTGAAAAGGCCAATCTCAGCTCTCAAGAAGCTTAGAATATACTGGAGTAAACATTTTTAAAAAGTGAACTATGGCAACGAGTACGTATTACATTTTCCGATCCAGGTCGGACAGAATCTGACGTTGGGATGGGGGACTGTCCACAGGAGGGAATGCTCTTCAATTAGCAGGACAGTGGTAACAAACCCTAACACTACCATTAGCTGGAGAGAGGACACGAAGGCTACAGATCTGTGGTTTATTTAGCTCGGCGGCACTGGCTTTTCTACTTTGATGTTCGGTTCAGCAGCAGCATTTGCAAGGTCGGGGCGGTGGGGAGCAAGTGCCCTCCCGGCGGGATCCAGGGATCGGAGAATCACTGAACCGCATCGGCGTCCCCAGGTCACCAGGAGGCGCCGCCGGGACGAGGCGCCTCGGCCCAGGGATGGGCCGGCGAGGAGCGGGCTCTTCCTCCCCGCGCCGCCGCCGGCCGCGCACCCTCCCCGCCTCCCTCTACCTCAGGGCCCGCGAGCCTCACCGCGAAGCCAGCAGCGGCCGGCGAGGGGCCCAACGACCCGGCGGCGAGACACAAAGACCGGAAATACACCCCCGTGGCCTTCCGCTCGCGACTCCCCGGGCCCCTCCGCCCCGCCCCACCGCGCTCTCCGGCAGCCAATCAGCGCGCTGGATCCTGTCCCTCCACCGTCCGCCCCCTGCGTCCGCGGACGCCGCAGAGCCGGGACCCCGGGCTGGGGCGGGGCTGACCGGGCCGGGCGGCATGGCGGAAGGGCGGGGCGCCGTGAGAGGCCGCTCCTCCCCACCCTGGCGGCTCGCTGCCCACCGCCTCCCGCCACCTACTTCTCCCCGCCCCCCCATCTTGTTTCCAAGTCACTCCGGATCTCCCCCCCTCCGATGTTTTAGGAACGTTTTCCTGTCGCTCCGGTGCCTTCCCAGGTTCTCTGATTAGAGTGATCACGTGACAACAGGCCGGATCCATGGTAACCACGGCGTCGCAGCAGCCACGGCTTCCCACCCCAGACTACAGGTCAGAGCGCGGGTCCCGGTCAGGGCCGCCGTGCGCTCCCAGGCTCCGCCCCTCCCAGAGGGGTTTCCGGTTTTCTGGGATCCAGCTGCCCCGGAATCTTAGAATTTAAATTTTCCTTGGCCGTTTCGTAGGTGAAAAATGATGTTTCCTGCTGTGTGTAGTTAGCTCGAGGATAAGGTATGTCCCCCTCCTGGTGATTGAACACATACGGTTCTTCAATGGCTTTCCCCACTTTTAAAATTGAGGTGTCACTTTTTTTCTTTTATACTTGCAAGTATTTTACTTGTTGAGGGTATCAGTTCATTTGTTGCAAGCATTTCCCGTTTTATTTGTATTTGATTATTTTAAAAGCATTAATACAAGTTGACATATATAAAAACAAATACCTTGTGGAGACAAAAGACACGTATTTGGGGGAAAAATTCATCAGCATACAGAGGTATTAATGACTTACTAATTTTTAAAAAAATACATTTTTATTGATTTCAGAGAGGAAAGAAGATTCATGTCCCAGAGCCGAGGAGAGGCCAGCAACAATCAGGGGAAGGTGAACAAAATAAGGGTGTTGGGAAGACTGGTGTCTATGCTTGGCCTGACAGATGCCATCTTTTAAAAAAAAATAAATATATACAATTTTTTTATTGATTTCAGAGAGGAAGAGAGAGGGAGAGAGAGACAGAAACATCAATGGTGAGAGAGAATCACTGATCATCTGTTCCCCCACTCCCTCCCACCCCCACCCCCCCAGGGACTGAGCTCACAACCTGGATGAGCGCCCTTGATCAGAACTGAATTAGGGACCCCCAAGTCCGCAGGCTGATACTCGGAGCCAAACTGGCTGGGGCCTGATGCCATCTTAAGCAAGTTGTGCCCTAACTGGTTTGACTCAACAGTGGATAGAGCATTGGCCTGCGGACTGAAAGATCCCAGGTTCGATTCTGGGCAAAGGCATGTACCTCGGTTGCGGGCACATCCCCAGTGGGGAGTGTACAGGAGGCAGCTGATTGATGTTTCTCTCTCATCCATGTTTCTAACTCTCTATTCCTCTCCCTTTCTCCCTGTTTAAAAAAAAAATAAAAATCAATAAAATATATTAAAAAAAGAAAAAAGAAGAAGAAGCAACTTGCTCTGGGCGACCAGCAGTCCGCCCTGGGAGGCATGGCCAGAGCACCTGAAAGCAATGTTCTCGCACACCTTGGCTAGAAACCACCTGCTTAAGGAGCACGTGGCATGGCTGCAGGGCACCTGTGTTCGTGGAGGCTCAATATATGAAGCTGCAGCCGCTCCTGGGTGTGGAGGTTTCAGTGTCCGGCTGCCGCTCCGGTCTCTGCTTCTGTCTGTAAGTCCTCCTAATAAACTTGGTTTAATTCTGGAGCTGTCAGCCCCTCTCTTCCTCTGTGGGCCCCGTAGAGGTTGGTTTGAGTACACCTCAGGAAACTTTCCCAGAGGGACTGTGCAAAGAGGCAACATGTTAAAGGCAGAAAAAGGGAATAGATAGATGAGTGTTGAGTGTGTAACGGTGGCATTTGCCTCAATAGATAATCTCATTTCTTTTCAAAATAGGTAAGAAAGTGACACATGAGGAAAAAAACCCCAGTTCCTATCATTCCTTATAAGGTGGTACATACTATATTTAAAATGCAAATTAATTAATTATAAGAGATGTAGACCGAAAATTTAGAGCTACTTTCTAGGACTTGGTTTACAGTGGGATAGCAGCTGATTACCTTTTTTTTTTTTTTTTTTAAATATGTATATATTATTGATTTTTTTTCAGAGAGGAAGGGAGAGAGATAGTTAGAAACATTGATCAGCTGCTTCTGCCCACCCCCTACTCTTGGGGATGTGCCCAAAACCAAGGGAATCGAACCTGGGACCCTTCAGTCTGTAGGCCAATGCTCCATCCACCGAGCCAAACCGGTTTCGGCCTGATTACTTTTTAAAAGCCTTAACCAACAATTTCTACTTTGCATGGTGTTTTAGTCCATTTGGGCTGCTGAACCAAGGCTGCCATAGACTCAGTGGCTCATAAACAATGGAAATTTATTTCTTACAGTTGGAGGCCGGGGCGTCGGAGGATATAGCACCAGCAGCTTTAGTGTCTGGTGAGACCTCACTTCCTGACTCATAAACTGGTGATGGGTGAGTACAGCTATCCATTCCGTCAAGTTCAACTGCTTGCATTTCTGTGTCATTCAACAGTGCTCTACTTCCCAGTCATCAAGTGAGACAAGGGTGCTGACAGTCCCTTAGCTGTAAGCCACTGTTTGGTAATAACGGATAGAGACAGTGGATTCTGATGCTGAAGGAAAATGAATCCCCCACTCATTCGGCAAATATCACTCAATATTAGTACATGGGAAACACTGGTACGAAAAGGGAAGGGCTCACGTGAAATAAAAGAAAAGCTTCTTCACTTTACTTACCGCTCAGAACTCCTAGTGTGAATGCCACAAGAGCAGAGGATCTGCTTTTCCAGGGTTACCTCTCCCGTGTGGTCCAGCATCTGTACAAGGTGAATTTCATCACCAGGAGTAATGAGTGCCCAAAGGCGAAAATTGGGGCCCGAACATTGGAGACAAATGGGACACATGTGTCTGGGCAAAATAATGTATTGGTTACAATTTCAGCTTCAAATCCCAGGCTTCTCAATTATTAGCTCTGTAATCTTGTGCATACTTTTTAAATTTTTTGCGCCTCCATCTCCTTTTCTGAAAAAAATGAGGATAGTTGTGGTACCTATGTTATGAGGTTGTTATGAGCACCAAGTGAATTAACCCATGCAGAGCAGAGCTCAGTGCATGTGTACTGTTGGCGTTTGGTGAGGGAGGGTTGAGTTGTTGAGAGTGTGGAGGCCAAGAGAAGGAACATTTCCACACTCCTGAATTTGCCTGATGGTAAGAATTATTTAGGGTCTTTGTTAAAAGCATGTATTTCTGGGCCTTCAATCAGCACACAAGGAAGAGTTGTAGGAATTTATACTTTTGACAAATACTGGAAATGATTCTTATCAAATTTCGTTTGGGAAACTGATGTGGTAGATAGAGTGTAGACTTCTGAGTCTGACAGATGTGGATTCTGATCCATTCTTTAAACAGTTATGTCCAGATGTCCACATGGACAAAGGACTGATTTAAGCACCGGGCATCCAGCAGAGTCTAAAACCAACACAAATCCCTCATTTTTGTGCTTATAGGTTCCTCCTCTAAGACACCAAATGGGCCTTCCCAGAGTGACTCGAATGAACTGTTTAAACAAAAAGCTTTGTTTTGCTGAAACCGGTTTGGCTCAATGGATAGAGCGTCGGTCGGCGGACTGAGAGGTCCCGTGTTCGATTCTGGTCAAGGGCATGTACCTTGGTTGTGGGCATATCCCCAGTTAGGGGGTGTGCAAGAGGCAGCTGATCGATGATTCTCTCATCATCGATGTTTCTAACTCTCTACCCCTCTCCCTTCCTCTCTGTAAAAAATGAATAAAAATTAAAAAAAAGCTTTGTTTCCTTGTCATAAAAGCATTACAAGTTGATGGAAAAAAACCAAAAAACAAACAAACAAAAAAACAAAAAACAAAACACGAAAAAAACCCCAGAAGCTATAAGCCATGGTTCTCATGTTGAAGAGGGAAATTCCCAGTTACCCAGAGGCCTTATATTCACATTAAGTGAAATATCTGGGAATAGAAAACGACCTGGTGTGGCTGTTGGTTTGGTGGTGGTGGTGGTTTGGTGGTGGTGGCAGCAGCGGCGGCCAAGTGTTTGACCCGTAAATGGGAAGCTGAGACACCTGGTCTCAGAAAAGCAACTCCGACCAGATTAGGAGTTTCCCTGGGTCTGATTGGCTATTTGCCAAGCCTAATATAGGTTGTTTTGACAAATCTCTTCAGAGTTGCTCTTTGAAAGGCAGCTGGATTTTCGTTTCCTCCTTCCCCAGGAAGATGGGACCAAACAGGAATATTTACCTTTGAAAAACGGTTTTGTTGCTCTCTTGTGACAGAATACCAGAAAGTATTTGGTAGTGTTTTGACTTAGAGGTCAATTCGACCTCCCCGGTGTCCTATCTACTTCTGGGGCCAAAGCAGGAGTGGTAACTGCATTTATTTTGTTTTGTTTTTAGTAAAGGAATTAGAGAACACTAGTGCCAAGATTAATGCAGCAATGACATTTAATTTAATTCTGGAAAAGACATATAAAATGTAAAATATTGTCTTCTTTGAGTCTCTTGAGCATTCAGTGTTTATCCTTTGATTTACCGGTGTGGATTTATTTCCCACGTGGTGTGGGTTACTGTTCTCTCTAAGTACAGCATAAACATCACTGAAAACAAAGCTGTGCTTTGGATTTTGCTGTTGGGGGAAGGAGGTGTTCTTTATGGTGGCATTTCAGACAGCTGATGCTTGACCCTTAAGAGCCAAAGTGACCACATTTTTGCATGTTACCATCCCTGTTGAGAGTGTACTAAAATGTGTTAAGCTGTAACTGTGGTTGGCAAACTGCGGCTCTTGAGCTACATGCAGCTCTTGAGTGTTGTTCTTCCACAAAATACCATGGCCTGGGAGAGTCTATTTTGAAGAAGAAGTTTAAGTTTAAAAAAAATTTGGCTCTCAAAAAACATTTTAATTGTTGGTGTTTGGCTCTGTTGACTAAAGAGTTTGCCTACAACTAAGCTATAACTTTATACTAATGTATAATCTTTGAAGTATGGAGAGAAGGATGCAGTCACTTCTTATTCCTCACCCTGACGCGATGCAGTCTCCTCTCCCCATCCCGCAGAAGCTGAGCTTTTGGAGACAGTGGCCTTGTTACCACATCCGATGGCCGCCTCTCAGTCCTTTTGTGACCTCTAGCATTGGTCACCGCTGGCAGCCTGCCTGTTTTCTAAACATTCAGTTTCCAGGGCACTGCTTTTCCTCCATTTACACACTGCCCGTTTACACACTGACTAGCTGGCTTCTCTTTACCACCTACTCCTTCGTGAGGCTCTGGCCGAGCTCCTGGGTAACACTCTTCTCTGCACACACGCCTTCTCTCAGGGAATGACATGACAGCACTCTGCTACTCACATATGAATGACGCCAAATCTGTGTTCCCACGCCTGATGCGGCTACTAGAGGAACACTGTCTCTCTACTGTAACACTTTGACATAAATAGGTGAGTTTTCATCTCATACGCACCTCTCCGGTTCTCTGTGGACACAAAGGGTGCCCTACAGTTTCATTCATTCTGACAGGAACCCGAGTGAGCGCAGACTCCATGGGTTATGGGCTCAGTCTGTGCCAGGATTGGGGGATGAAGAGCAACCACATGGTCTTTATTGTATCATCACATTCCATCTACCAAGCCCCAGATCTTAATTTCAAACTTGTTCGAACGTCTAACCTGGGTAATCAACTGATGCTTCCACTCTGACATGTCCAAATTCAATTTGACTACCTGCTTCCATTTCTAATCTTCTTATTAAGGAAGAATTATTATGGAGCTATTATAATCAAGTAATTGTCTTACTTTATTAACTTGCCATTGTTTGCCTCACGTTGTCATAAATAAGCAGGAATTTTAGGGCCAGTGTAAGGGACCAGAAATTGGTCATTTTAAAACTCCGAACCTTTGGAATCATCTTCTGAAATAGCTCCATGTTGTCTTTTTTTCCTACCTTTTTTGTTTTTGTTTTTCATGTAATAGCTTCCTAAATGATCTCCTTGCCTCCTATGTCTCTTTCTCCTGTGCACTTTTCAGATTACTGCTAGCGTCTTGAATCTGTTATATAATCACCTATTTATAAATCTTTGCTGCTTTGCTGTAGCCTCAGGATATCAGGTGCACACCCTTACCATTCAGCATCTTTTTCCTTCTGGCCCGTAGCAACTAGAGCTATATTTTTATAAAAGGTTGGCATTATCAACAGTAAAAATGTCACATGTTATTAATCACATTTAGTAGACGGAAATGTTATCAAATGCTCAGATGGGAGATGTTCCGCACTGCTCCAGCATTCTTCAGTCTCTTGTTTTCTCCAGTTTCCCTTGTTTTTTTACCTCTCCTCTCCGGTTGGCAGGAACCTTGCCCGTTTTCGCTGGGCTGTCTTTGTGAATAAACAAGCAGTTAGCAATTGGTGACAGTGGTGACCTGAATCCAGCTGTAAAATGGTGTGGCCTCTGCTGCTTTGGAAATACAGTTTGGCTAGAAGCAACACGGCAGACAGGTTTTTGTTTACTTGTGGTTCACAGGCCAGCAGTTCTGAAAACCCTCCCGTGGAAAATCGGTCACAGGATTCTTGAGGCTTTTCCCTGGAGCGTGCTGCCACCTGTTGGCCAGACAAGGCAGGGCAACCGCAATTTAGTCCATTGGAAACTGCTCTGTAATTTCTCATTCCCACGAACACATAACACTTTCGGAACACAGACTTTGGGTTTTCAACATCAAAAGGATTCACTAAGTATTTGAATTATAAAAGAAAATAATATTACAGACTAGACAACCAAATGGTCTGTAGTCACATGAAGAAAAAGATGCTCTCAAGGTTCAATGGGTTACATTACTTAAATATTCCTTTTTTTTTTTTTTCCTGTTTCTCCATTTTGCCTTTATATGGGTTACTAAAACAGCTTTTAAGATTTTGTTTTATCTTCTCTATGGTGGTCTGAGTGTGTGTCTTCACAGCGTTCTTCGTGGTTGCTCTAGCATATGCACAGTGTATCACAGTCCACTGGTTTGACATTTTACTCGTTTGAATGATGTATAGAAACCTTCCCTCCCGTCGGGCCCCTTTCCCTGATTTAGAATGTAATTGTCCAAATATTCCCTCTATATACATTAAGAACCACATCAAACAATGTTATTATCATTTTTTTCATCAACCATCAAAAGCAATTTATTGTATTTACCTAAATGTATACCCTTTTTGCTCTTTTTAAAAAATGTATTTTTACAGAGGGGAAGGGAGAGGTATAGAGAGCTAGAAACACAGACCAACTGCCTCCTGCGCACCCCCTACTGGGGATGTGCCCACAACCAATGTAGGGAATGTGTATCATTCAAACAAGTAAATGTTTCTCTCTCTCTCCTTCCACTCTCTCTAAAAGTCAATGGAGAAATGTCCTTGGGTGAGGATTAACAAAAAATAAAGATATTGGATGCAAAATCGAGATGCATTTCTTGGGAGTTTAAAATGATTTATTGACCAAATGGAAAAGACAGAGTGCAAATAAAAACGCCAGCTGTATGTGCCCAGGGCTTGTCACTCGTTCTCTCGTGGACTTGTGCTTCCTGGGAGCTGAGTGACATAGCCCTTCACGAAAGGACAGGCCCTCAGACTCACTGAGCACCACACCTGCAGGCTTTCAGTGAGACACTCAGTGATGATTGGAGTTGGGTAACTCCATGACCCAGCGTAGTACTGCTCCCTCTGTTACTGTCTAAGGTAGTGCCAAGGCCGCAGTCAGATAAAATGCATGGCTGTTTCTTTAAAAATAAATAAAAAGTGCAGTCCAAGCTGGTCTCTGTGAGTCTTAAGCGTAGATTAAATCAAGTGCAGCCAAAATTGTCCCACCCAGGAGCTATCATCACATTCCTCCCCTTTGAAAGCAGCTAAAACTATGAAATTGTTGGCAGTCACAGTCAATCCTTTAGAAACAAAAAATTCTTATGGCCTCCAGTTCTTAACTCCACTTCCTTCTCCTATTTAATGTGTTAGCAGTTATTTTGGGGTGTGTGTGTGTGTGTGGGAATGATTTAAATGTAAATCTTCAATTTAATGCAAGGTAAACTTCTGCTAATGGAAAGGGTACTGAATCTAGGAGAAATAGAGATTGGTGTGTAAGGGGATTAATAAATTAAAAAAAGTTTTTTTTTAGCTAGAAAAAGGTAACATAAACAAAGCCCAAGAGGTAATGTCAATAATTTCAGACTGACATGAAAAACCACCAGTATTTATTTATTTAAATACTAGAGGCCCAGTATACGACATTCATGCACTGGAGCGGGTTGGGGAAGGGTCCCTCAGCCTGGCCTGCACCCTCTCGCAGTCTGGGATCCCTCTGGGGAGCGGGCCTAACCCGGCAGTTGGACATCCCCCAAGAGGTCCTTAGTGCTGCTGTGGAGGCGAGAGAGGCTCCCGCCACTGCCGCTGCACTCATCAGCCCCGAGCCCAGCTTCTGCCTCAGTGGTGCTCCCCCTGTGGGAGTGCACTGACCACCAGGAGGCAGCTCCTGCATTGAGCGTTTGCCCCGTGGTGGTCAGTGCACATCATAGTGACCGGTCATTCCGCTGTTTGGTTGATTTGCATATTTGGGTTTTGTTAGGACTAAGTGCATGAATTCTTGCACCTTGAAAGGAACTGTGGGCCGAGAGGTGGGTCTCAGCCCATC